ACTTATTTTTTATTTCCCTTGTGTCCATTCCTGGAAATGGAATTGGTGGGTCATATGAGAACCGTCTCTGTTTCTCCTTTTGAGGAACTATCTTGAAAGGAGAAACTGTTGTACATTTCTGCTAGTAGTGTGTGAGGGTTCCAGTCTCTAGATTTTTGCAGTCACTCATCATTATCCATCTTTATGATATGACAGCCATCCCAGTCGATGTAAAGTGGTATATCTCATTGTGGTTTTGATTTGCATTGCCCTTATAGTTAACCTACCATTTTTTATACCATCAGTGCAGATGTCTCCCCACTGTAAAGGCAAATCATGTCTTTGTATTACTATGAAATGGTTTTGACCCTAGCAGGTTTTTCCTGCAAGGGTTTCTAGGTCCTCTAAGGGTCTGTAAATTTCCTTTGAAGTCCACTGATGTGACCACATGTCGCCAGTGGAAAATTGGGATGTATTTTCAGTGTTGTGTTTTCTTTTGCTCAGGCAGGTAATGAGCAGCTACTCCTCTTTTTCCCATGAAAGTGATATTGGCAAGCATTAGGAGGCACCTGGCTCCTCTGGCCTTGGTCCACAGATTCCCATTCACAGTATGGCATGAGTAGGAGACGTAACAGGCTTGGTCAGTGTGGGCAAGTTAATGACCCAGAGCAGTGAGAGGTTGTATTGGGTCTTGCTGAGACCAGTGTTTGTCTGCATTGAAATCCTTGTTTACACTCTCTGCTGGGAGGGATATGAGGCAAAAAGAGATGTGCCCACAGTCTGAGTGTGCAGTAACCTGAGATGGCCCTTTTTTCTTTTTTTTGTTAATTTGAGACTGAGTCTCGCCCTTGTCGCCCAGGCTGGAGTGCAGTGGCACAGTCTCACCTCACCGCCACCTCTGCCTCCCGGGTTCAAGTAATTTTCCTGCTTCAGCCTCCCGAGTAGTTGGGATTACAGGCAGCGGCCACCACACCTGCCTAATTTTTGCATTTTTTAAAGTAGAGACAGGGTTTTGCCATGTTGGCCAGGTTGGTCTCGAACTCTTGACCTCGTGATCCTGCTGCCTTGGCCTCCCAAAGTGCTGGGAGTATAAGTGTGAGGCACTGTGCCTGGCCAAGATGCCCTTTTAAACATACAGTGATCGTGTCTCCCAAATCCTGCGTACCTCCTGAACCCCAGACATTGTGGTAGACATGTTCTACCTACAGGAACGTCCGCTATCCCCAGTCTATAGATGGGAAACCGAGGATTAAATAAATTGCTGAGCTCTAAACAATAGAGCCGGGCATGAGCTGCAGATATTTTTTGAAGGGCGGCAAACCCATAGAAGAATATTTTGTTACCTGAATGAGGAGAAGTAATTATAGAACCGGTGCTTCTTTGTAGCAGACATGTCTTAGTGGCAGCAAAAAGCACGGAGAAGCACGGAGGAGTACTGGAGATTTACAAAAAAGAGCAACTACTTCCTCTGCTATATTTTAATAAAGAAGCTGTGTCCCTCATGCCTGTGGTCCCAGCACTTTGGGAGGCCAAGACGGGTGGATCACGAGGTCGAGAGATCGAGACCATCCTGGTCAACATGGTGAAACCCCCGTCTCTACTAAAAATACAAAAAATTAGCTGGGCATGGTGGCACGTGCCTGTAATCCCAGCTACTCGGGAGACTGAGGCGGGAGAATTGCCTGAACCCAGGAGTCGGAGGTTGCGGTGAGCCGAGATCGCGCCATTGCACTCCAGCCTGGGTAATAAGAGTGAAACTCCGTCTCAAAAAAAAAAAAAAGAAAAAAAGAAGCTGTGTCCACTGCTTTAGAAAATTGGTGAACGGTCAGGAATTGCCTATTCCCGTGGCTTGAGTTTTAATCACATTGAAGTATGACTTCTTACGGATGTTGCTTTTAATTTGTCTTGAAAGCTAGCACAGATACTGCCATCTTGGGCATGATTGATGGTTTCTGACAATGGGTATTTACTTAGACTCAGAGTAAATGCCAGCCATATGAAGTTCTCCATTTTCTCCGCAATGGAGAGTATCCAGTAGAACCTTGTGCAGCATCGGATCGTGTCCTGTATTTTGACATGGCCTGGTCTTTCCTTCAGTATTTAAAATCTGTCCATCACTGGTGCTGGAAAGAACTTCGAGATAAAGGCTTGCATCCAGTCCAGATAGGGAAAATGTACATCTCTGTCTTACACCAGGACAATCGGACTAAATAATTAAATCCACGCAGTTTAATTAGAAAACAATTACAAGGAGACTTAGAAGACGATTTTATTATTTGAAAGCATGGGTATTGGAATGGAAAGATGTTGGTGAAAGGGTGCAACGTTGGTTCAAGGGCAGAGAGAATTGGCAGATAAATTGGACAGCTCGTGAGTACAGTCACTAATAACGGAGCGTATACTCAAAAGTTGCTTATCTGAAAAAATACAGATACACGCCAAGTGTGAAAGCAGGAAACGCGTTAGCACATTTGGCACCATAGCAAATGACTTAGGTAAATGACAAAAGGGACAGTCTTTGCAGTTTGTTAGGCATCAACGTAATTTAAAGGACTCTTAAAATACAATGTAAGATTGAATGTTGGGGAAAGGGAGTCTTGCGCTGTGTAGAGGAGGAAAGATTTGCAAGCCAATAGGAAGAGATTTCCAACTCAAAGGAGGAAGAATTTTCACTTTGATCTGCCGCAGCGGGGGTAGTGGAATTCTACCTGAAGTGTTCTGCAAGTGCTGGTTGGGGTGGGCACAGCCTGCAGTTCCTCAATTGCCAGATGGATGAGCGGACAGGGTAACCTTTTGAGTACTCCCTCCGTCAGGTTGACGGCTAAAAGATCACTGTAGCTTTTAGCCGTCAACCTGCCGGACAACAGCGAAACTCCATCTCAAAAAAAAAAAAAAAAAAAAAATCACTGTAGCTTCCCCTTGCTGCTTTGCCTAAAGCAACCCAGGAACAGGGTGCCCTTCCTCCTTCCCTGAAGAAATAGGCCCTGTTTGGACTGTTTGTGGGGAGAGGACGGCCTTTGTGAGTTACAGAAATGTGAGGGCCTGTACAGCAGAAGGAGAAACCCTTCACGTTGGTGTTACCAGGTTTCCCATAGAAACCCCGAGCATCCCTGTTCTCTTTTGAAATTTCTGCCCAGTGGGTAGGAAGCACCGTGCTCACTGGAAATTCTCACTTCTAGCCACCTGGGGTTTGTGGAGTGGTGTGGTGGGCTTGGGCCTAGGCTGACCTCATAGACAAGGGACTGGTGGCATGGCCTGTGCCAGGCACTTACCTCCTCCATCAGTAAGTGTCCTGTCCTGTATGGTTGTTCTGAGGATTCAGAGGCTGAGTGTCCTTCAGGGCTTTGTATAGTTCCCCTGGCTTATATTAAGCACTTAAGAAATATTAGCTATTAGTGGGCCTGGCGTGGTGGCTCATGCCTATAATCCCAGGATGGTGGAAAGCCAAGGTGAGTGGATCATGTGGTCAGGAGATCGAGACCATCCTGGCTAACATGGTGAAACCCCCGTCTCTACAAAAAATATAAAAAATTAGCTGGCTGTGGTGACACGTGCCCGTATTTCCACTTTCTCGGGAGGCTGAGGCAGGAGAATAGCTTGACCCTGGGAGACCGAGATTGCAGTGACCTGAGATCATGCCACTGCACTCGAGCCTGGACAGCAGAGCAAGACTCCATCTCAAAAAAAAAAAAAAAAAAAGAGAAACATTAGCTATTACTGCTGTTTTTGAATTTAGGAATAGAAATGGGTCTGGCTCCAAGCCCCATCACCCCTTTCTTCATCTCTCTTGTCACTAACAGGTCAGACAAAGCAGCTGTATCCCCACCCCATGCACGTCAGTAGCTCTCTGGCCTCCAAATGCGTCTCTTTTAAATCTCAGAACACACTTTATTATTCTGGGTCCCCTCTGTCTTTACTTAGATTCCAGGCGGCCATTTTCTTGGAATGAGGCTGTGTTATTTTCCTAAGGTTAAGTTCTTTTTCTTAAGGTCTGATGTTGATATTTTGAGGGGTGCTTGAGTTTTACTGTAGGGAGTTTTTTAAAGAATGTATTTTCCATCGTCTTAGCCAAAGCACATAATTTTTAATGGTTAGGATTTCAATTTAGTTTTGTGTCTTGTTGTTTAGGCTTTTTCCTGTCATCTGCATTCAGGATGCTGGTTGTTTTTTTTGTCTGTTTGTTTCTGTTTTTTTTTTTTTTTTTTTTTTTTGAGAACGCCTGACATTTTATGGTCGATGGTTTTTGCCTTCAGGGAGTGGAGGTGTGAATAGTTCATTCTCACACTCCTATGAAGATACTACCTGAGACTGGGTAATTAATACAGAAAAGAGGTTAAATGGACTCACAGGTCTGCATGGCTGGGGAGGGCTCAGGAAACTTAATCATGGTAGAAGGCAAAGGGGCAGCAAAGCTAATCTTACCTGGCAGCGGGAGAGAGAGCCTGAGGTGGGAACTGCCAAATCCTTCTAAACCATCAGATCTGCCGGGCGCGGTGGTTCCCGCCTGCAATCCCAGCACTTTGGGAGGCTGAGGTGGGCAGATCATGAGGTCAAGAGATCAAGGCCATCCTGGCCAACATGATGAAACCCTGTCTCTACTAAAAAAGAAAAAAGAAAAGAAAAATTAGCTGGGTGTGGTGGTGTGCGCCTTTAATCCCAGCTACTCAGGAGGCTGAGACAGGAGAATTGCTTCAACCCAGAAGGCAGAGATTGCAATGAGCCGAGATTGCGCCACTGCACTCCAGCCTGGTGCCTGGCAACAGAGCAAGACTCTGTCTCAAAAAACAAAAAGACAACAACAGCAAAGCATCAGATGTCATGAGGGCGCACTCGGTATCAGGAGAACAGCGTGGGGAGTACTGCCTCTGTGATCCTGTCACCTCCCACCAGGTCCCTCCGTAACACATGGGGATTATTGTTTGACGTGAGATTTCCGTGGGGACACAGCCAAACCATATCAGTAGGTTACATGGTAGTGGTCAAGTGGTGATTTTATTCTTGTTTTCTCCTTCCTTTTCTAGTTTTCAATGGTTCCAGCAGGTCGACACGGGAGAAGGAACCTGTTCAAAAACACAAAAGCAAAGAAGCCACTCCCGCGAAGGAGAAGCACAGCGACCACCGGGCTGACAGCCGCCGGGAGCCGGCTTCGGCGAACCACCCCACAGCGACCCCCTCCATGGCTTCCTCGGCCAAGGGGCCCGCTGCCAACCACCACCACCCCTCTCTGCATCGGTCGGCTCAGGACTTACGGAAGCAGGTAAAATCCACCAGGGGTGCCTGCATGTGCGCCAGACCCCAGTTTCCCGCTTCACTTCAGCAAGCTGAAAATTCATCTTCAGCAGGCTCAGGAAGCAGGAGGTGGTGCTCAGAAGGGAGAGAGGGAGAGTCAGAATGCCTTTGCATGAGCTGAGGCAGGTCAGTTGGATTTGCATTGAGCCCTGGGGGCCACTGCATTCACCACCTGTGATCACGAGAAAGGGAACTCATTTTCTTACGTAAGCCTTCTCCCACCCATCCACCCTGGGCTCCAAACAGGTGGTAGAGTGGCAGGGAACGTGTTTTCTCAGGCTAAGTTTTGAAACAGGCCTGTAAATGCTGTAATTCTGTTAGTAGACGATCCTGGTCTACTTTTCTGTTCTTTTTGATGTGACGAGTTAACATTTCACCACTCGGCCTTTGAAGCAGAATGTGTGCATGGCATGTGCACTGCCGAGCAGTCCATGTGGAATGGGGTGTGGCTGGGTGGCACCTCTTCCATGGAAGGCGTTTGGGTCCTGTGCCATAGCATCCACAGAGTGGGGATGGATGCCACCCTGATCACCTCCTGCTCCTGCCTGCCCCAAACTGCCCCCACTCCCGCTCCCCAGGGCCACAGATAACACAGGTCCTGGTGGGGCAGCTTTGAAGAATGCCTCAGGGCTTGGCCACTGTTGCTGTCTGGATTTCCCATCCCTGGGAATGAGTTGTCAGGATAAAGGCAGGTTCCTGCAGGCACACAGCTGAGCGTCTGTCCCCGTACAGGTGGCATTTCACTGATTCCTCATCCTCTGTCCCCACTCCATTTTAACATCCTCTGAGTGATGGGATCATTGATGCGCTTTCCTTACCAAGTTGAACAGAGAATGTTAAAATCTTCCCCAGAAGAGACCAGAGGCTATGATTTTCAAAGGTAGATTCAGAGGAAGTTGTGGAGGGGACAGAAGAGATGTCCTGGCTGGCAGTGTTGCAGAATGACTGACACATGGTCCTTGTGCTGTGAACATACTCAACTTCATCTCGTGCTGGAGGTTGTCTTTCTCATTCTTGATGATGTTGGAGATTATTTCTCTCTGAACGTGAACACGTGACTCTTCACACGCAGGCACACAGGTATTTGTGCATGCACACATGAACCTTTACCTGTCAAACAGTATGCCGTTGGGGGGGGAAGGGATGGGGCAAGAATCACCGCTTTCATGTTTCCATAGTCCGCACATACCTAGCATGGATTAAATGCTGGCCACTGTTGCCAAAACACTTCCAGAGACTGTAGCCAGTGTGGAACTGGACCCACACCATGTGCTTAGCTGGCCTCTCTCAACCACTGAGCCCCCAGGTGTCAGCACAGGAGGCACAAAGCCCAGGGAGGCGCCAGGCTGTTGGCCCTGGGTCTCTGATTCTTCACTCCCTCCCTGTTTGCAATGCTGTCGGTCCCATGGAGACTTGTACAGACCTCTCCAACGTAAGGTTTTCATTCACGAAAGAGAAAAGAATTAGAAGTAACCCAGAGAGAAAGACAGCGATTACACCATGCGACTGCATCCTGTCTGTTTTCCCAGGATCCTAGAATAGGGTTGTTTGTTTCGGTTTATCTTCTGCTCATCCCACTTTGCTTTTTTGAGGTTTTTCAGTTGTGGTAACGTTCTAATGGGCCATATCAGGACTGGCGGCCATATCCAGGTGAGCTTCCAAATCTTGCCTTTCTGCCCCAAGACCCCGTCCTCGGGATGGTGAGGCAGGAGTGCAGGGCGGAGGAGGACCTGAGTAATGCACACGTGACTGGATGTTCTCATGCACCGCAGACACGTGTGTGCACACCTTCTTGCACAGTCACGAATTGAGATGTGTGGGATACACCTGTCATCTCAGCTGGTCAGAGCATACTCTCAGCCCTTGCCCTTCATTCAGTTCAGGGTTTCCCTTTGTAAGGGGATGAGAGGGATTAGCACAGTTGGGCACAGCAAAGAACTGAGGAGGAGTAGAAAGTACCGCCCTAGCCTGGGATGGCCCTGCCTGGCCCTGTGCTCCATGGAGTGTTCATGTGACCTGTTCCCTGTGCAGGATCTGAGGTGCAGGAAAGAGGACCTCCCACATAGCAGGCCTCTGTTGTCTGAGTCAGTGCGGGAGCTCAGCTGCTTCCAGGGCTCAGGGTAGAGTCCTTGCAGGTAGCCCCATATGCTCATGGACGAAGATCCTCTCCTGTCACCTGCCCCTGCTTTCTCCCTCTTCCTTCTCCTCCTCCCTCCCTGCTCCAGTCTAACCAGCCCAGATGGAATGACCCGTGGGTAAGGATTCTAGTTCGGCTCTGACCCTTCTCTTCAGTGAGACTTGAGATGTGCTATTTAACCTTCCCGGGCCCTATTACTCCTTTCGAGCCAGCCTTGCCAAGTCCTCGCACAGGGTCATTGTGAGAAACAGAAGGAAAATTTTCCAACCCCCAGGTCCTGTTAGTTAAGTACTCTGAAAATAAGGTCAATAAAAACAAATCGTAGATTCCCTTGTGACTGCTTGATGCAAATGATTAGACTGTGACCTTTCATCTTTTCAGCTGCCGGAAGGATATGGGTCCAGAGGATCCTCTGATCTTTCATTTCAACTATGATATGTGGGTTGTTTTGTTTTGTTTTGTTTTTGTTTGCTTCAAAGCCTAAATGTAATTGTATGAAGTGTGGAGGGATATAACTTTTTGGGGTGCTGCTGAGAAGTGCCTTTTCCTTGCTTGCTCTGATGAACTATGTGGGGACATGTGCCTGTCTGCCAAGTGTGAAACCACTTCCCCTCCTGCGCACCGGGTAATGCCATGTGATAGTGCGTGCGATTTATGGAGTCCCTGGAGACTTAGAACATTCCACCGCACACTTCACCTATGCCCTGTTGTTGGTATGAGGATCTGGCCAGCCCTTTACTCTGGATAATACTAAATGAGCTGTCTCTGTCTGGAGTGCATAGCCTGTGTAACATTGCAATTGTCAGGGGGCTGGGATTGTGTCTGTGCAGTAATTTGGTTGTATGGTAAGGGTCTCACCAAGGAGCAAATGATGATTTTCTGTTGCTTTCCTGAAATAGTACTTCTCAGAAAGTAACGAATTTAGGATGGTCAAACAAACAAGCTTTATCCCTAGGAAGGGTTTTGAAGCGGTAGTTTTTCAAGAGAGTCAGAGCGGGTTTTTTACTTGTGTAGAAATTTGTGTGGTTTGTAAGCCAGGATATGGACGGTTAGGCTCTGCCAGATGTGGTCACGTGTGATTCTCATTTCTTGCGCTGAGGCTGAGTGCGAGAAGAGAACGCTCAGCTGCCTAATCCTGCTGGCTTTGCAGGGGCTTCCACTGAGCTAGGCTACTGTCACTGAAGAGGTTTTCATATGAAAATGTGTAAGGGTTGCAGAGAAGTCCTGCCTTTGTAAGATTCAGAGAGGGCCAAGAAATTGAGACTATTCATTTAAAGTTCTGGAAAATGAAGTAAGACCATCAAGAAGGAAATACAGAAAATCGTATCAGCCTTAAAAAAAAGTTTAAGGTTTTTTTCTGATGACATTGTCATCAGAATTGCACTTGCTGGTGGTGTGGTGTTTGTGACCCTGTAACTCTGCCTTCAGTGGGAGGAGAGGTTATGCATACATCCAGATTCTCCGGTAGGACCCAGTTATCTCTTCCAGAGCACATTCGCCTTGGCCTTGACCTTGGCTGGAAGGCTCCTGCCCATCTGCTGCTGCGGTCCGTGTTTGAGCAGGCTGCTCCTCCCCTTCCATAACTCACTGTCTGTCCAGTGCCTTTCGCTTCTGTTTAGGCTCTTTGTGTTTGATTCAAGTTTTAAAGTGCAAATGGACTACCCCCAGCCACCAACTGTTTCTCTCTCTGGGTTCTGGCTCTGTTTTGAAAGCCTGGCAGAGGCCTCGGCTCAATGGCTCCCTCTCGTGGGGAAGAAGAGCTCACCACTGAATCTGAGGTTGAACTGAGGACAGCATCATCATCTTGAGCGACTAAAACGCTTTTGCTTAGTTAACCAAAAACATCAGAGTCATTTCTTATCTTCTGCTCTGCCTTGGAAGTGCATTTCTCCTTGTCATCTGTCATTATAGTGAGTTGATTTAAATATTGTGTGTGACGGAAAGGAGGTGGGGAAAAACCCGTAAGGGTGGAGGGGGAGGGATTTTATATTAAAGTAAGCACACAGAGTGTGGACTGGGCACAGTTTTTATGGAATTTCTGTTATTAAGAACAAAGGTAGGAACGTTTGATGTCCTGGGCTTTCATATCTCTCATCTTATATCCCTTCTGCAAGAAGAATGAGGTATTGTTGCAACTATTCATCAAGCTGAATGTAACTGGAAAATGCTCTCAGCCTTGCCTGTTACATTGAACTCATTATGTTATGACTAGGAGGGGTTGCCCTAAAACCTCATGGCCATGCACCTGGAATCACCTGAGATACAGGTGACGGATGGCTATGAGCCAAGGAGCACATGCTGCAGATACCTCATTTTCTGCAGAAGTGGGTTGGCAGCTGGTGGGGGGAATGGGCTGAGACGCCAGAAATCCTCAACAGAGCTGAGAGAAGGAGCAACTTCAGCTCTGACGAAGCTTATTTACGTGTAAAGCTTCTCAGCTGAAACGTACTGTCATTCACTGGAGGGTCCTGCAGTAGTGCACCTAGACACTCATTCTTCAGCGAGCTTGGATGGCTTCTTGTATGTGCCTTTCTGTGGAATCCCTCAGGACGTGCAGCGGTCACCTTCCCTGTAGTGCGCTGGCAACGTAACTGGGCTGTGTGGTTTTAATTGATACAGAGGTGGTTGGGGTAAGACAATGCCATCCTCCATTCTTTTGTTTTCTTTTGTACTGATGAAGCATTGGCTGCTTGCAGACACGTCCAGGCCAAGAACAGGGGTTTCTTTTTGTTGGACTGATCGGTCTTGGGTTTCCCCACTGTGGTGCTGCTGGCTGGGTGGTGTGTTCTGTTTTATTTCTCCCCTTTAGTGCACATGAAGCAGCTTAAGGGGCAGATTGCTTCCTGTGTTAGCTCATCAGCTCCCCTGTGGCCTTTCCTGCTGGGCATAGAACATGTGTCAGAGGCGAAGACGGCCAGTCCACTTGCCATTTTCAGTCTTTGTAATTTGTTCTGTGTTGTGCGTGAGGTCCATCTTGTCTTTGAGCTTGTTACACGGGCGTGCGTGGATGATACCTGAGTGGATACTGTTGAAGATAACTGTTACGTTCTCACAAAGCAAGTTTTCTGAATGTATACCTTGGCAATAATCCAGTATTTAGGTTGTCAGAAACATTTAAACAAGTTGTTCCTTTTGCCATTGAAGATCGTGATATATAAAATTCAGCTGTGTAGAAACTTTACCTCCCTGTAGCATTGCTAGCTATGAACTCAGGTGCCCCGAGAATCCAGAATGGATGGACCCAAAGGCTCTGCACTCTTACTTGAGATAGAATATGAGACACATAGCGCTGCACTCTGGCATGTGGACAGTGGTACTAGGAAAGGGCAGGGTCCACGGATTTGTGGGGACACTGAGCCATCCGGGGCTTTTAAACAGAGTCCCTTTCTTGATCCTCACCAATTAGTACAGAATCTAGAGGGAAGGGATGTACATTATTTTGAAGCTCCCCCAGGGGCTTTAGGGGTGCCAGGTTTGGAAAGCATGGAACTAAACCTCAGCAAGTGGTGGTGGCGGACGCCTGAGCCTCACAGGAGTGGCTTATGTCTGGCACCATCTGGAGTTTGCCATTTTGCCAGGTGCCTCCCCATCTGTAGGAATAGATGAAGCCATATTGTGTAGTCAGCCTCCTTAAGGAGACTCCTGCGCTGGGAGTAGGTTGAAAGAGACTGCACCCCTGCAGGTTAAAAGGAGATTCAGCCACCTGTAGGGGATGTTACCTCTTCCCCAAGGTCTTGGATACCTGAGGTCCATGGACCTCCCTGTCTTGGATGATGGAAATAAAGATCAGCCCCAGCTGGAGTTGATTGTTTGCTTTTGTTTTTCTAAATATTTTGTTTTTAGTGGAAGCATTTGAAAGAACAATTGAAACAAGAGATTTGCATTCCTCGCTATAGACCTCCTCTTACAGAGAGACAGTTTCACTCTTGTTGCCCTGCTGCAGTGCAATGGCGCGATCTCAGCTCACTTCAACCTCTGCCTCCCAGGTTCAAGCGATTCTCCTGCCTCAGCCTCCCGAGTAGCTGGGACTACAGGCACATACCACTATGCCTGGCTAATTTTGTATTTTTAATTGAGACGGGGATTCTCCATGTTTGTCAGGTTGGTCTCGATCTCCTGACCTCAGGTGATCTGCCCGCCTTGGCCTCCCAATGTGCTGGGATTAGAGGCGTGACCCATCGCGTCTGGCCTCAGTCCCACTTCTTTATAGGGTGACTCGTGGTTTAGGAGCCAGAGAGTGATTCCTGGGCCTTTCCTTCTGCCTCGTCGTGGGGCCTCCGATCCTGGCTCCAGGAGTGAGGCCTCCCGGGGTGGCTCCTAAGAGGAGATGTCCTACCGGAAATTTGTGGCTTTGGTTGGACTGCATTTAATTGGTGGCATATAGAGAAATACAGTGGCTTCTTTCCTTTTCAATTTTTATGAACTTCACTGAGGTTCCAAGTGCAGTTCCCAGGCCAGCCCACAGCATTGCCTGGGGCCTGGTCCAGAACACACATTCTCTGCGCCATCAGCGACCCTCTGAATTAGACACTTTGGGCGTAGGGCCCAGTGATGTGTTTACATTAGCCCTCTAGGGGATGCTGAGAGCCACTGGTTTGGGTGCTTTGGGGAAGTTTCATCCCATGCCCCACCCCACTTAAGGTAACTGCTTATTCTTGGGCCAGGCCTAGATTTAGTAGAAAGGTCACTAAGACTCATTACCCGCCATCTGGGGACCTTCATCCTCATGTGAGGACAGCCGCACAGCCTTGTGGCATCGGTGTTTCAGTGCCCTCTTGTCCACGACCGCATGTGGCCAGCTATCCTGACTCCCCTTCCTGGCACCTTCCTCTCAGGGGCTGTGGGAGAGAAAAGGGAGCTAGTTTTGTTTTTGAGACTGAGTCTTCCTGTGTTGCCTGGGCCGGAGTGCAGCAGCATGATCTTGTCTCTGTGCAACCTCCGCCTCCTGGATTCAAGCAGTTCCCTGACTCAGCCTCCCAAGTGGCTGGGATTGCAGATGTCTGCCACCATGCCCAGCTAATTTTTGTATTTTTAGTAGAGATGGGGTTTCACCATCTTAGACAGGCTGGTCTTGAACTCCTGACCCTCGTGATCCATCCACCTTGGCCTCCCAAAGTGCTGGGATTACAGGCGTGAGCCACTGCGCCTGGCCTGGGAGCTAGTGTTTCTATTCTGTGTTTCTCAGTAATCTTTTAAGCTTCTTCCTTTGGAGATGGCAGTGGTTATAAAATCCTGAAGTCCCTGACTTGAAACTCATGTCATAGATCAAAAGTAATGCCCAAGAGGTTAAGTGATGGGACAGCAGGCACGGTGTGACATGAAGAAGACTTCCTGAAACCACCAAGCCTGGCATCGTCCCCATTGGGTCCCTTCCTTATTCTCGTTTGGAATCTTGTGCATTTCTGGTGTCCGCCCTGTTGTTCCCTGTTTTCTCTGACATTTATGTCTCCCGGAATTACCACGCTGTCTAAGCTTTAGGACTGCCTCTGTTTGCCCAGGTCACATAGAACCCAGTGGGAAAGTTTGTCCGGGGTTGGCGTGTTTCGCTTCACCGGTGAGTTCTGGGCATCCCTCTTCCATCCCGCCTGGCCCTGTCCTGGGTTCTTCTCCACAAGGAAGGCCGACAGCAGCTGCTGACAGTTTGCAGCCGCACCTCCGGGCCTGGCCTGCCACTCGGAGCCAAACCCCATGAGCACTGGTGTTCTTTTCCTTCCATAGTATTTTTGTTTTCTTTCTTCTTTTAGCCACATAGATTTTTAAATCCTGTGGGCAGGTCGTACTGCTCTGTGGAGCACAGAAATAGCAGACATGACTTTTCTTGGAGCAGGGATATGAGAGTGTGTCTATTTCCACTTCCCCCAAGCAAGTAGGGTATTACTGTCACCAACTCTTACAAACTCAGGACAGGTGATTGTGTGGCACAAGGGGACATCTTCATTGTGAAGCACCAAATCTCCTGGAAGAGCTGTGGGAGCATGAAAATACACACGGGAAACCCTGCAAGAACCCCCTGGGCAGGCTGTATAGTTCTGTGAAGAAGGACAGGTGTATAGATACACCCGGGAAGCCCTGCAAGAACCCCCTGGGCAGGCTGTATAGTTCTGTGAAGAAGGACAGGTGTATAGATACACCCGGGAAGCCCTGCAAGAACCCCCTGGGCAGGCTGTATAGTTTTGTGAAGAAGGACAGGTGTATAGATACACCCGGGAAACCCTGCAAGAACCGCCTGGGCAGGCTGTATAGTTCTGTGAAGAAGGACAGGTGTATAGCTGGTTCTGAAAGTGGACATCACTGCCTAGTTCTGGGACGTGCATTGTGCTTCCCTTTGCTGGTATTTCCACACCTCTTCTTATGAACAGGCTGCTGGCTCTGCTCGTTCCCAGGTCCCAGGCCCTTTCTCATGGGTGGGCCGGTTGTGTTCGTGGCAGGTACTGATTGTGTTTTTTTCCGCCTCTGCTTCCGCTGCTCCACAGGTCTCTAAGGTAAACGGAGTCACTCGAATGTCATCTCTGGGTGCAGGTGCAACCAGTGCCAAAAAGATGCGCGAGGTCAGACCTTCACCATCCAAAACTGTGAAGTACACTGCCACGGTGACCAAGGGGGCTGTCACATACACCAAAGCCAAGAGAGAACTGGTCAAGGACACCAAACCCAATCACCACAAGCCCAGTTCCGCTGTCAACCATACAATCTCAGGGAAAACTGAAAGTAGCAATGCAAAAACCCGCAAACAGGTGCTATCCCTCGGGGGGGCGTCCAAGTCCACCGGGCCCGCCGTCAATGGCCTCAAGGTCAGCGGCAGGTTGAACCCAAAGTCATGCACTAAGGAGGTGGGGGGGCGGCAGCTGCGGGAGGGGCTGCGGAACTCCAAGAGGAGACTGGAAGAGGCACAGCAGGTGGAGAAGCTGCAGTCGCCCCCCAAGAAGATGAAGGGGGCGGCTGGCCCCGCCGAAGGCCCCAGCAAGAAGGCCCCGGCCGAGAAAGGTCTGCTGAACGGACACGTGAAGAAGGAAGTGCCCGAGCGCAGCCTGGAGAGAAACCGGCCGAAGCGGGCCACGGCCGGGAAGAGCACGCCAGGCAGACAAGCACACGGCAAGGCGGACGGCGCCTCCTGTGAAAATCGTTCTACCTCGCAACCGGAGTCCGTGCCCAAGCCGCACGACTCGGGCAGGGCCGAGAAGGGCGGTGGCAAGGCCGGGTGGGCGGCCATGGACGAGATCCCCGTCCTCAGGCCCTCCGCCAAGGAGTTCCACGACCCGCTCATCTACATCGAGTCAGTCCGCGCTCAGGTGGAGAAGTTCGGGATGTGCAGGGTGATCCCCCCTCCAGACTGGCGGCCCGAGTGCAAGCTCAACGACGAGATGCGGTTCGTCACGCAGATTCAGCACATCCACAAGCTGGGCCGGCGCTGGGGCCCCAACGTGCAGCGACTGGCCTGCATCAAGAAGCACCTCAAATCTCAGGGCATCACCATGGACGAGCTCCCACTCATAGGTAGGTCTGCGCGGGGTGGGGGGCGGTCCCTGCCTGGCCCCAGATCCCTGCTGTTCCAGCAGTCTTCACATTCCCTTCCCATGCTGAAGCTCCAGTTCGGCTCCCCTGTCTTGGGAGTAGGGGGCTTCTCAGCTCGTTCCCCCTGCAGCCCTCTTCCCAGGTCCTGGGCGTAGGTGGCTGGAGCCTGGATCCTGGGTTAGCCCCCACTCGCAGCCTGGGCCCCTTGCTTTTCCTGGGCTGTCACCTGCTGCCTGCAAATGCTGGAGTCAGAGCAGTGGCCAGGGGGCCTGTGAAAAGCCCAGCTCCTCTGGATTCTCCTAGACTGCCACGACAAAGACTGCCCCACTGAGTGTGGGGCTTACAACAGACATTCCTCACAGTTCCGGGGGCCGGAAGCCCAAGGTCTCAGGCCATAGGGTTGGTTTCTCCCGAGGCCTCCCCGCCTGGCTGTGGATGGCTGTTTTCTTCCTGTGTCCTCATTTGGTCCCATCTCTGTCTGTGTCTTCATTTCCTCTTCTCAGAAGGGCATTGGATTAGGGCCCATCCTATGGACCTCATTCTAACATAATGGCTCCTTGAAGGACCCTGTCTCTGAATTCCTTCACGTCCTGAGGTGCTGGGTGTCAGGGCTTCAACGTATGAATCTGGAGGGTTCACCCTGAAGCCTATGGTCCTCTAGGAGCCCATGGGCCAGTTTTCATCCTTCTCAGTGTTGTCTATTCTCTTCTTCCTCTTCGTGTTTCCTTGAGCTTCAGTTTCTCTGGTGATTTTGTCAAGGCCGCAGGTCAAGGGATCTATTAACATTTCTTCTGAGCCCTGTGCACTCTGGCCGAGGCTGCTGGAAACTCACCACACGGTATCCTTAGAGAGCGCACATCCCGGCTGCCATGCAGACCCTGGCTCCTCAGGGTGGGCCGCAGGCAGAGCATCCTCTCGAGTTCCCTCGTAGCCCTCCTTTCCTGTCATCCTCTTCTCAGTCCTGGCACTGGGAACACAGGGCGAGGATGAACTTGCCCTGTTAAGGTGGAGTGGATTCTGTGGAGTCAGGTGCATCCAGGTAAGGCTGCAGCCCCATTGGTCTAGAGCCATGGGGGGAACCAGGCCACGCCTCCATGTTGGATATCCTGAACTGTCTATGGCATGCAGACATGTAGCCATGATGTAAGTGTCGGGGATGGCAGCGAGACAGGCTTCCATGCAAATGGAGGTTTCGTGGTCCCCTGAGCACCTGCCAGGAATAATGCCTGAGTGACAGTCACCCTAATTTGCAAGAGTTCGTGGTTTGTTCTCTGCTGTTGAGAACGGCACGTGATAGGAAGCAGTGCGGGGAACAGGCTCTGCACATAGGCGCACCCACCCACACATTTAACCCCGCCCCGTGACTGCTTGGGACACAGGGTGACCCTGAGTCAGTGATGGAAGCGCACCAAGTCCTCTTGCCTGTGGTGAAAGCTGCAGACAAGAGTTTCTCTGCTCTGCTTGGTGGATGATGGAGCCTTGAGGGCTCATTGGTGTCGTAGTGACAGCCCCTTCTGTCGAGTAGGTTTTTCTTTACCTCTGACTTCTTTACCCTGGAACAGAGGCTACACTGCCTCACTATGCTGTGCTGGTGCATGTTGCCGTCACTGAGCAGGCTAAGGCGTCTGACATTCTTTCCCAGGGTTGCTGACCTGCCTGAGCCAGGAAGGCCTCAGGGTGGGGGGGTCTGAGCTCAGCCATTTGACAGTGGTAGAAACTTAATAACTTTGAAGTCGTCGTGAAAATCCCCCCCAGTGGGTGTGCCTTCTGTATCTGTGCAGGTTCACGTGCACTGCAGGCCTGGTAGTGGCTGTGCCAGGGGGGGAATTGGGAGGGCAAAGGACTTGGCCACATAGCAGCCTCCAGGCTCTGAGTGGGAGTGATGGCAGTGGGTGAGGATTCCATGAAGAACTCTTGAAACCACTGTCTGATTTTCAGGTGCTCTTGCATTATAATCTGAGGGTGAAATGTGAAAGTATAGATCCCTCTTCTCTTTGACCTCGGTTCTGAGTCACTGGGACAGTGGAGTACTTGTTTCAGTTGGGGCACTCATTTTGGTGTCTACCTCCATAAGGGGCCCAGTGCCCACCTGCCCTCAGAGGAAGAATTTACAGTTGTCAGCCAGAGACCACCCGTGACTCTGGGAGCTTGAGACCTGGAGTGAGTTGCCGAGTCTCAGACCCCATTAGGTCCTTCCTGTGGAGACTGATAACAGCTTCCTCATTGATGTTACCCCACACCTCTCTTCTCCACAACCAGCCCAGCCCAGTGTCCTGCCATTTAGTGGGAGTGGAATTCAGGCTTCTGTGCCCGCATCCTTGGTCTTGCTGATGTGCCAGGAACTCGTTCTCGTGCTATGTCTGCTGAGGCAGTTCAGACACTTCACCTGGTGGGCCCCGCTGTGCTTGGTGTCTGCAGGAACCCTGCCTGGATGGGATCTGTGCCCACTTTCCCTTTTATTATTTAAAAACAATATATCTCCACACTCCAAAGATGTAAAGCTTTCTTAATTTTTGCTTTGTTTAGCATTTTATGGATGATTATTTTGGAAGATTCCCCCCTCCCCTCTCCCTTATTGGCCCGAGAGAGGTTGCTTTTTCAGTTCCCATCTGGAGAACCCACTAGGTGTGCATTAAACCTGTTGAGGGTTAATATGCATTTGCGCTCCTCTGTGACCTGATCAGGAGGGGCCCTGAGCACCAGCTTACTCACTGAGGAGTAGCCTCATGGGCAAGGGACAAGGCTAAGGGACAGACAGACTGCCCTGTGCCCTCACGCAGTCGTTGCTCTTTGCTCCCGACATCCAGTCAGGTTGAAGATAGACTTCCTTTGTGTGAATGAGTGGGTGGGTGTTGGGGCTTTCAGAAGGGAACTTGGGAATTGCTAGGAAAGGTGTGTCTGTAATTTCCAACATCAGATATTCCAGGTTATGCTGGGAAGTGGATGCAGCTGGGACCCCTGCCCGCTCCTCATCTGGGATCTTCTCATGACCCCTGCCTCCATGTGAGAACGCATGCACTAGTGCGTTGGGATGTTTCTCTCCTTATGTCCGTCTGGCCAGCTCTATTCCTCTTCCAGCCAAGCCCCAGCTTTAATGCTGCCTCCTGAGACACTTGTCACCTAAGATGGTGGCCCCTTGTTCCACTCGATCTTCATCGCACATGGCCGTGACCCATCACTGTGTAATGCCTGTCTCTGTAGACCAGAAGCCTACCATTTCCATTGTCTCCCCAGAGGCTGCCAGTGTCCTGGCTCATAGGAGGAGTTCAGGAATTACAGGTTGAATGAGGAACATCTTGTTCGTGTCCCTTTCACTAACTATCCCGTTTTTCCCCCTTCACCGTCCCAGGGGGCTGCGAGCTCGACCTGGCCTGCTTTTTCCGGCTAATTAATGAGATGGGCGGCATGCAGCAAGTGACTGACCTCAAAAAATGGAACAAACTAGCAGACATGCTGCGCATCCCCAGAACTGCCCAGGACCGGCTGGCCAAACTACAGGAGGCCTACTGCCAGTACCTGCTCTCCTACGACTCCCTGTCCCCCGAGGAGCACCGGCGGCTGGAGAAGGAGGTGCTGATGGAGAAGGAGATCCTGGAGAAGCGCAAGGGGCCACTGGAAGGCCACACAGAGAACGACCACCACAAGTTCCACCCCCTGCCCCGCTTCGAGCCCAAGAATGGGCTCATCCATGGCGTGGCCCCCAGGAACGGCTTCCGCAGCAAGCTCAAAGAGGTGGGTCAGGCCCAGTTGAAGACCGGCCGGCGGCGACTCTTCGCTCAGGAAAAAGAAGTGGTCAAGGAGGAGGAGGAGGACAAAGGCGTCCTCAATGACTTCCACAAGTGCATATATAAGGTAGGGGCCTGTGTAGAGCAGCCAGCGCTGGCGGCAGGAGTGCAGGTGGCACGAGGAAACAGGGCGTGCTGTGTGCTGGACAGTGCACCCTCTGACTCCCTGGGGTGATGAGGGAGGGAGCGGGCCACTGTGCTGGATGAGGGCGTGGTTTTTTTGTTGTTTTTGTTTCTAAGACAGTCTTGCTCTGTGGCTCAGGCTGGAGTGCAGTGGTGCAGTCTTGGCTCACTGCAACCTCTGCCTCCTGGGTTCAAACAATTCTGCCTCAGCCTCCCGAGTAGCTGGGACCGCAGGTGCATGCCACCACACCCGGCTAATTTTTTTGTGTGTTTTTAGTAGAGATGGGGTTGCACCATGTTGGCCAGGATGGTCTTGATCTCTTGATCTCATGATCCGCCTGCCTTGGCCTCCCAAAGTGCTGGGATTACAGGTGTGAGTCACCTCTCCCGGCCAAGGGCGCTCTCTTAGTCCACTTCATGCTGCCGAAATAGCACAGACTGGGCAATTCGTAATGAACGGAAATGTATGGGCTCATGGTTGTGGAGCCTGGGAAGTCTGATATCCAGGAACCTGGTGAGGGCCTTCTGGGTGCATTGATGGAATGTTGGTGCAAGGTCGGGCAGTGAGAGACCCAGTAGGGAGGGGACGTCCACTCCACGAAGACACCACGAGTCCATTCCTGCGTGCCCAGGGCCTCAGGGTTCCTTTTCGTTAGCTGGCTTGTGTGTGCATGTTGCATGCACATGCACATGTCCTCATCTGCCAGGGATAAGTACCGGGGCTGCATGCTTCGCTTCCCCTGTGTCCCCAGTTCTTTTTGCACCTGTCTCATCCTGGTGCATGACAGCTGCCCAGACACAGCTGACCTCACTGGCTGGACCCTCAGTGGACTCTGCACGCTTGTTTTCTCTGCGTCCTCATTTCCATCCGCTCAGCTTACTGCCAGCCCAGCAGTGCCAGGTTCTTTCTGTGGACGGTCATCCCTGATAAAGCCATTCCAGTGGATCTTGCCATTCACACTCTGGAGGGAAGAGTAGGGGAGAAACAAGCTAACTGAAATACGCGTGTTTCCCCCTCCGCCAGTTCTCACCGCAGCACAGTCATCCTGAGGAAACTTACCTCCCGGAAGCAAGGGAAGCAGAGTCGCTGGCTCTCCTCCTGGCGCCCCTCCCAGCTGGCCTGGCAGTGAGGCCAGACTGGGGGCTTCTCCGGCATGCGAGTGGGTTGCGGGGCTCCCGGGGCCCAGCTGGACAAGCCCAGCTATGACCTGCAAGTTGAGGTCTCTGCTGAATTGCCCGACACAGACTTGCCCTCTGTGGTCCTAGTTCTGGATTCACTGGGAGGGAAGTGTTCTCTGCTTCCAGCCCTGGTGAGCCTGGCCAGAGTGTGTGGGCATTGGCTGTTGTTCATCCCAGAACCCCGCCACACCCTCAGGTGCCCACGGCTGCCTGACTGCAGGCTCTGGCCTAACCTTGTAGTTGAGGCAGTGTGGGCTTCTGAGACCATCACACGTCTTGGAAACGGAGGGATAGCTGACGCCACCACCTGCATCGCCGCTCCATTTTACGTCCAGGCCCCGCAGACTGCCTCAGGCTGCATCTCATACACTTGACGCTTCTCTGGAAAGAGGTTCCCCAGTCTTTCTGTCCTGAGACCCTGAGAGGGTTTGGCCTTTTATCTGAGTCTCGTTTCCTGTTTCCAAGGCTGCCTGGTGGGGGCATGTGGGGGTTGCAGGATGCTGCCTGCCAAGACCCAGCTGCCTTGTATTTGACTGGTCGGTGTTCTTAAGAAAAGAGAAAGTGTGACCCAGATACTGTAAGCTCTGGGGAACTTTTATTTGGTGTTTCCTGAACGTTTTAATGAGAAGCCTTTGTCAAGTAAAGCCACTCACTGAATCCTGTGACTCTGGATAGCCAACTGGTGAGATGAGATACTGTCAACGTTTTCACTTTTTACTGAAGGAGGCCAATTGTATGAGTGTTTGCTCCGAATAAGAGGTTTGGGTTTTTAAAAACATACCCTGTCAAGGATATTTCTAGATTTCATCACGGAAACATAGTGGACCTCTGCCTGGTGGCCGTGGCGAAGCCCCGAGGCAGCCGTGTGCCCATGCGGTGGGGACCCTGAGCGTGCAGCTGTCTGCGGCCCTGGTGTCCTGGCTGCTGACTTTTGTGTGCTGGCGTCATCCTCACTTCCACTCATTGTACTCTGCACTGGTGCAAAATTCAGTCCCTCCTTGTAGTTACCTTTGTTTGTTACAAGAAACAGTGTCGGCAGTGGCTTGGAATTGCATGAAGTATGTTCCTGTAGTTAGCACCCCATCTAGTCCCTTTGGAGCTAGAAAGAAAGGCCCAAGGTAGCGTTGCCATGCTGACTGTTGACTGTGGACCTGACTGCTGGAAGCGTCTGCTGCTCCCTCTTCTGGCCCTGTCACTTGTACAGGAACACTGCAGTGGCCAGTGCTGCGTAGGGAAGCCTTCCCTGACCACCCTTTCCCGTTCTCCATGACACCTGGCACCTCCTCCCATCCCGTGTTGTGTTGTCTTTGTGTCTGAGGCCTGTGTGTTCCCCAGACTGAACGGAAGCTGCACGAGGCCAGAGGTTTCATGTTTCATGTACTTCTCTGTGTCCAGCCCCTAGGGTTTGGCCTAGTACACGGTAGGTGCTCAGGAGCTATTTCTGGCCTCAAGTCGTAAATGTGCCCAGTCCAGAAAGAAATCATAGCAAGGGTCTTAGACGGCTTCCCTCTGAAAGATGAACCACATCTGGTATGGGAGGTGAAAGAAGGTGCTGACTCCCGATTCCCAGACTGACAGACTCAGCTATTTTATCATAGCAAGGAAATCATTTTGGATGTCATTGGGAACAGAGTGACAGAGGGACATTGAAGAAGAGGTGCCGGGGGGACAGCAGGTGGTTCTGTGGAAAGAAGGTGACCAGGTTGCAACTGCAGATGAAGGCTGCCGCCCTGGCAAGGACTCTCTGGGTGTAGACGTCACCCAGTTTCTGTCTCCCCAGCTTCTCTTCTGTGGGGTCCCCTGGTCACGAGTTCCATCAGGTCATACCCACTGATAGTTTCTTCACTGGCCTGCAGGTTTTGTCCTGCCCCTGCCGTGGGCTCAGCTGAGGAAGTCTGCCTCCAGTGCAAGCTGTTCTTTTAGCAGGGCCTTGGAGGTGCCTTCCACGCTTCCGCCGAGCATCTGCTCGGGACCTCTGGGGCGGCAGCCTCTGTTTTGGCAGAGCAATTTGGCCCTTACGTGGGTGATCCTTGGTGGATTCTTCCCTCTCCTGCTGGCACTTTGGGATCTTAGAGGATGGATTTTTGCCTTCTCTGCCTCTCATGAACTCAGGATACAAGGTGGCCCACAGCAGCGGCTCGTGACAGGCGTGGGAACTCCATTGCAGCAGTGCTGCGCTTTGTTTCCGAAGCTTTACTCTTGTTTTGTTTCGTTTCAGGGAAGGTCTGTTTCTCTAACAACTTTTTATCGAACAGCGAGGAATATCATGAGCATGTGCTTCAGCAAGGAGCCTGCACCAGCTGAAATTGAGGTGAGAGAAGTGGCCCCTAAAGCTGCCTTTGGTGAGCTGGGCTCCCCTTGGCCAGCCTGAGGCCATCCTGTCCTGCCCTGACCCCTGCAGCCCGGGGAACTGAAAGGACTCGGACGCCGCAGGGCTGAGTTCATCTTCTGTGTTGAGCGTGCACCAGGGCAGCCAAAAGTTTTAACTTCGGTTGATCTCAACTTGTTCAAAAGCCAAAAACACTCCAGTGAAGGTGGGGAGCTGCTGAGTGCGACAGGCCGGTTCTGGGCACCTCCCCTGCTGCCCTCACCTTCTCCTCCTGCTTGCTCCCCCAGCTGTTTCTCACCCCATCCTCTGTGTCTGTTGTGTAAGAGAATGTTTGGAATCCCTTGAAACCACAGTTGTGCTTTTTCTTCTCTTCTGTTTTGTATTTAATGGGATTGGCAGATTGCCCTTTTTGTGCTTCTGCCAGCTCTCTTCTTTGAGTTAGTATGAGGTTGGAAAGACAGTGAGTACTTCTGTGCCCAGACCAATTAGGGGGAGTTTTTGTGTGCGGCGCTGCAGGACAGAGACCGGATCTGTTTGTTTATCTCGCCTCGGCCAGTGCCCAGCTGAGTCCGTGCGAACTTCCAGCTGCTGGCGTCGGTGGGCTCTCGGCAGCGCTTGGTCGTGGAACGGGGAAGAAACCAAACCTGGATCACTGGTTTGGGGCAGCTGCCGGCTGGGGTACAGGAGGTGTTTGCTGACCACAGCCTCATCTTTTGGTGTGTGACAGGCTTTTGCAGCTTTTATGTTTTTTGTTTTGGTTTTTTTTAATTTAATGCCACCACTTTCAAATAAAATCCAGGGTCAGTTTGCCCCATATAGACATGCTGACCACTGGGGATTCAGTCATCCTGTTTTGCCCAGGGTTTGGAAGTGTGACCTTCAAACCTGCTCAAACCCTCCCTGGGTGGCATTTCATGCCCCTCCTCCCCAATAGCAGCTGTTGTTGCTTAGGATGCCCAGCCCTGGGGGTCAACCCTGCTTTCCTAGTGTGGAGACTTAGAGGTTTACCTTTAGCACTGTTCTCATCTCTCTTAGGTCTCTGGTTACGTGCAGGGGCTGCCTGCGCTGTGTATCCCGGGTACAGCCGCTGAATGCCACGCAGTGGCCTGACACCTGACCCCATGGCTGTGAGCCATGCTGCAGGCACCACTGCCTCACCCCCCACCAACCACAATGGCAGCTGAACCCTGGTCCAGGACACATGTGGCTGTCGCAGCTGCTTCCAGAGCACGCATGGCGTTTGTGGTAGAGATGTCAGGCAGAGGAAACCTGGCTTTCTGGGCTGAGCATTGGAGCTGGGAAGGGGCTGGTGTTGCCAAACAGCACGTGTCCTGTGGACATCTACCCAGAGGTGCAGAAGTTTATTACTATAGTGATGTGCAAGGACGCTGAGCTCATTTTACAGCTGCTTATTTGGGAATTAATTCCCTTTGAAAGTCTGGATTTTGCTCTAGCAGTTGTGTAAATATTTAAACACAAAAGGGAGATTCGCTAGAATTTAAGCTTCAGGCCTGAACTGCCTAGCTTCTTGTGCTCTGTGTCTTCCCAAAAAAGCCAGGAGACAGCACGTAGAGTTGGCTACCAGCTGGGAGGAGTCCCGTCCTCCCCTCCCCACGTGTTTATGCACCCAGCAGAAGCTGGTTGCCCACAGTTTCAGCAAATGTGCGGCAGGGTTGGGCACTCGGAGTCTGTCAAGGGAATCCGTTGCTTAATGTGAAATTTATTCTGGTTCTGTGGAGATCCGACTCTATGAGGCTGGCCCCCTTTGTTGAAGTCACAGGGTTGTGGAACCGGTCTGGGCGTTGCTAGTACCACTTCCTTGAGCTAATGGGACCATGTGATGCAGGTGCTTCTGGGTTAGGCTTCTCCCCTAAATGTGGTTCCCGCTTTAGGAGGCTTGTGAGTTAAGGAAAGAGGACTGTGCTTCTGGAGTGATCACTGAGAATACAGCGGAAGGTGACTCTGCGCAGGGAGGCTTGCCTCAAAGGGGCCTGGGCTCTGCTGCTTGCCTGCCGTCAAAGCATGTTCTGCCCCAGTCTTTGCCCCCTTCTTTGTTTAGATGGGACACTTGAAAAGTCATGTCAGAAGCTTTTGATCATTGGCAGTTACTGCGCTTAGCGTAACGTTCTCCAGGTTCATCCGTGTTGTAGCACTTGTCCGAACTTAACATCCTTTTGCGGGTTGAGTAATAGGCCGTGGGATGGATGGATAAGGGTTCTGTCCTGTCACTGCTTTCTGCATTCGCGTCCTGCTGGAGACACTCTGGAAAGACAGCTTTGGTTCTGAGGGGCATGTGCACCAGGTATTCTTGTCCGGTTTTGTTGGGTTGAACCATGCTCTGGCTGTGGGACCTTAGGGGAGCTGACCAGCCCTTTCCTGTTACTTGCAGCAAGAGTACTGGCGGCTGGTGGAAGAGAAGGACTGCCATGTGGCTGTGCACTGTGGCAAGGTGGACACCAACACTCACGGCAGCGGATTCCCAGTGGGAAAATCAGAGCCCTTTTCAAGGTAACGTGGGACTCTCTCGTCCGTGTTCCTGGGGATGTCACAGCATCCTTCCCCCACCAGTTTGTAACGTCCCTTGTTTTCCCCTCTGCAGGCACGGATGGAACCTCACCGTCCTCCCCAATAACACAGGGTCCATCCTGCGTCACCTCGGTGCTGTGCCTGGTAAGCCTGGCTGTGGTCACCTGTCTGCCTGAGGTAGCTGTGACCACAAGTCCTACTTGCTGAGAACCAGAGCTGGGAAATCCCTCCTAGGCACTTCCTGGGAGGGGTGGGGTCTTTACGTATACAGCACATACATTGAAAAATTGATTTTTTTTTTTTGGAGACAGCGTCTCCGTCGCCAGGCTAGAATGCAGTGGCGCAATCTCAGCTCACTGCATGCTCCAACCTCTGCCTCCTGTGTTCAAGTGATTCTCCTGCCTCAGTCTCCCAAGTTGCTGGGACTATAGGCACATGCCACCATGCCCAGCTGATTTTTGTATTTTTAGTAGAGAGAGGGTTTCACCATGTTGGTCAGGATGGCCTCCATCTCCTGACCTCGTGATTGGGAGGCCCCAGCCTCCCAATGTGCTCTGATTGCAGGTGGGGACTACTGCGCCCAGCCAGAAAATTGATTTTTAGAAAAGGGGTAACATAATGGCTGTGAAGTCAGTAGAAAAGGTGGAAAGGTGAACAATGTGGCAGAGTCTGGAGCTGGGAGAAGCTTAGTGGCCAGCTTTGAACCTTGAAATTGCTGCTTTTAAAGCAGAAGTCACAATTCCTTAAGGCTCCCACAGGCTGAAATCATCAATTCTCCAGATGGTCAGTGGGCTCGTAAGGGATGGATGCTTCACCAGCTTTAGGGAAAGCCAAGGGGTTGTGGAGGTTGTGGTCACTGTGACTGTGAAGGCCATGGCCTTGGGGAAGGTGGCTGGGAGCCTGTCCAGGTCCTGGAACCTGACTCATTTCTGAGCTGAGCCGAGGAGCGCTGTGCCTTACTCACCCTGTTCAGAAGCCTCGCCAGACAAAGGGGCTTTCTTGCTTTCTGCCCTGAGGTCCTCACCCTGGAGGCTCGGGGGCCACTAGCCCATAGGGCGGCCTCCCTCACGAGGCCGGTATGCTGTTGCTGTGGTACTGAAATGAGGTTCATATCCTTGCACTTCTGTATCGCAAGCGGGAAAGAGCAGGTACCTTCTGCTCACTGCCTTTTGTCTGGTTTTGAGGCCCATTTCCTTTCCTCCTTGCTTTAGCAGAAGAAAGAGATTTTTACTTCCTGCTATTAAAAATGCCCCTTTGACTTTTTGCTTTAGGAGTGACTATTCCCTGGCTGAACATTGGCATGGTCTTTTCTACCTCATGCTGGTCTCGAGACCAAAACCACCTTCCGTACATTGACTACTTACACACTGGTGCTGACTGCATTTGGTGAGTGCACGGCTGGGTGGGAGTGGGGACAGCTGAAACTCATGTCACCACATTGAGTGGGGCCTGTGGGTCACCTCCTGTCTGGTGGTTCAAAGTGCTTGAGAACTTGCTTCTCTGTTTCAGGCCCATCCTGTGTTCCCTGCCATAGCCTTGGCCTGGGATCCCCTGCCTCTGTTGGAAGAGTTGGGGTGCTAGAGGGTACTCTCTGAGAGCAATTCTCTTCATAATGCTTCGTGGCCATTTCGGTTCCCTTTTCTGAATTACTGGCTTAGATCTATTTATTTATTTATTTTTTCTTAGGATTAGTCACTTTTTCTTGTTGCTTTCTAAGAGTTATTTTCACATTTGGGATAAGGACCAGTAGGAAGAGTGCCACACGGTTAACCAGTAGCAGTGACCATGTCACTCTCTGTTAACTGAATATAAGCCGTGCAGTTTCGTGATTGGTCGTTTTCAGCCTCTCTGTAAGCGCCAGCGTTTCCTACCTGTGGGAGGCTACGTGGGGAGCAGAGTGGACCCGGCGCCAGTGTTTCCTGCCTGTGGAGATGTGCACGCTGTGTATGTAGTCTGAGGAGGGTGTTGCCTGGAGAGGTGTTGTGGGTCCCATCTGTAATCCTGACTCTCACTGTATCCGTTCCTGCTCCAGGCTGGGCTCTCTGGCGTCTTTGTTTTTGGTGGCAGATGGGAAATCAGTACAAACAGTCAGGTGTCGTGCGGTCTGATAGTCCACCGGCATGCCGTTCATCCGTGCTGGCTGTGCTGATCGCCCTAATAGGGTGATTAAGCCTTCTTTATTAAAATAAACAAAGTCTTGGGACTCCTGTTCCCACTCCTTGGAGTCAGCGTCAGCTGCAGCCTCCTCTCTTTGGCTTTTCTGGTGAGTGGTACCCTTGCCGTGAGGGAGAGCTCCCTTCCCATGTGGGTCTGTGTGCTGTGGACGGTGATCAGTGTCTCCTGCAGCTGGTCTTCAGTGTTGGGCCCCGGGATCCCTGCCTGCTTCTCTAGGAACAGGGACTGACCACAGCCTTGGGGCTGAACCAGGACAGGCCACCAGCCGGGAAGGGGACAGCCAGGACAATTCTGAGAAGTGCCCTTGCCCCCAGAAGAAGAGCGTGGCCATTCCTTGTGAAGGAATTTCGCCTGCTGTGGCATGGCCTGGGGTTCCTGCGGTCACCCCCAATTTGGTGACATGAGGCCCGAGTTTCTTTCTCTGAGGAAGCAGTGGGTGTGAAGTGGCCTGTATGGCTTTTCTTACGGCCTGAACATTGAGTCACAGATAGCGAAATGTGATATCCTGTGTGGGCTCTTTGGACTCACCCCTGGAATCTCATTGACGGGAGAGAAAGCAAAGGCACAGATGGGATCAGGGAACATGATGGTGTGTGGTTTCTCTTCAAACATGTGATTTTGGTTAGAAACCCTGTATTTAAATTACGAATCAGTAACAGAATATGTTTGCATTGAGGATAACATGAGCATTAAAAAAAATACTTGAATGTGCCTGTCGCCTTCACTGAGCAACTGAAACCAGGATTTGGCCTCAGAGCGAAACGCACATCACAGACACCTATGGGTTGCAGGGTGGCGGGCAGCCAGCCAGGCCTGTGCAGAGGCGGGCACCGGAGCTGGGAGGTGGGGGCTGTTGGGAGGGGCTGGTGGCAGCGCCCGAAGCTGCTGGCCCATGTCTTTGTGTTTAATGGTAGTTGATGGCTTCACTGGCTTCGCATCCTGAAGACCTGCCAGGCTCCTCTCCACACAGATGTCCTCTTTCCCAGCCCGAGATGCCCAAGGGCAGGCGGCCAGCCCTGTACCCAGCACTGCAGGGGCCTCCCCTTGTGTCCCCCTCATTCACACTGTCCACCTGGTACCAGGGGCTTCACGTGCTGTGAGTGGAAGTGTGGCACTGGTGGGCTTCTTGGGACACAGAGGACCTGGGCAAAACCTCCTCCCCTCCCCGGGATTGCCGTGACGAGGCCGTGTAGGTTACTCACTGCCTGCACCTCCCACCTTTTCTCACACTCAAGCCCCCTTGCCAGCCTCACGGTTGTACCCTGGAGGGGCTGTGGGCCACTACTTTCCCAGGCCACCCTTTGACGCAGGCCTGTGTGGCCTCGATTCTCCTGCATGTTTTGCTGTATGTGACTGATGCCAAATGGGCTGGGGGCCGCTGGGTATTTTCCGATCCTCACTTCTCCACAGCATCCGCCAGGGAGTTGGCCTTGAGGTAGCGCCTGTGCAGGAGCCTGGCTGCTTCCCAGCTCAGTGCGTTTGTAAAGGGCTGTGTTTACTGCTGCTGGCTAGAGGGCCGAGAGAGCCACGTGTTCTTTGTGAGGACAGCATCAGGTCCTGCTCCGGTGACGGCCTCTGTTACCGAAGGAGGGCACAGAGCTGGAGCCTCAGAAGAGGCTCGAGGCTGCAGTGTGTCTGGTTCTGATTTATGGGGTTTGTGAACATGTTTCTGGTTTGAAGGCTTTTTGGCTCACCGTGTGGGTCACATCTACATAAAAGATGAGCGTCTTGCGTCGCGGGTGTGCTGCGGTTTGGCTGCGTGCAGGGTGGAAGTGGCTCTGCTGCTGTGGGGCATGGGAGCCAGCGGTGACCAGGCACCCCGCCAGGCCAGCCTGCCATCCCTGCCGGCGTGGAGCAGAGCCTCTGCCGTGTGTGCTTGGGTCCCTGAGGGAGACGGGGGTGGCCCAGCACGTGCAGGAGCCCCTTGTCAAGTCTGCTTTTCTCTTGTGCCTCTCAATGACCCAGGTATTGCATTCCTGCTGAGGAGGAGAACAAGCTGGAGGACGTGGTCCACACCCTGCTGCAAGCCAATGGCACCCCAGGGCTGCAGATGCTGGAAAGCAACGTCATGGTGCGTCCCCTCGGCTGCTGCCGCCAGCAGGAGCTGCAGGTCCTCCTGGGCACTAGAATGTGTTTTCCCGTGAAACTGCCTTTCAGAGGCAACAAGGACACAGCAAAACAAAACCCCCAAAGGGCGCAGGTGGAAAGGTCCACTCACACAAAAGCTAGACTGAGCTGCTGTTGGATTGCACAGGGCACCGGGGTTTGGCATGGCCTTTGTATCTGGTTTGTTTGTGTTGGGGACTGATGTGGGCCCTGGGTTTTCTTGTCCCTGCCACTCCCAGCTCAGGGCCCCTGAGAGGAGTGAGCACAAAGGCTTTGTACCCTATTTCCAGGAAATCACAGGGCTGGTGAGTTCCCAGGAGGTGTTGGTTTGAGCTGTGTTCTGACAACTTCTCTGGCCTCAGCTGACCCCAGTCCCACCTGTCCATCTTAGAGGACAGACAGACAGGTGGACTCCTTTCTCAGCCCAGCCTGTGGTCCTGTGGCCTCTTTGGCTCTGGAACTGAGCCCAGCAGCCTCTTGGTTGTGTAAATGTGTCCTGTTTCTAGCCCCTGGCATTGCCAGGTGGGGACGTGGGGCCTGTGTGTGACCATCGTGTCCTTCGCTCTGCATGAACCTCTATCACTCTTGAGCCAGTGTGATTTAGAGTTCCTCCTTGTGTTAGGAATGACATGTTTTTATTTTCCACATAAAACAATCCTATCTCAAGAGCAGGCCTCTTAAGGTGCTCATGCATTGCCTGCAGACCGCAGGTGCCCCTGCACACAGGGAGGGGTGTGCTTCAGCCTGGCCCTGTCTCCCCAGATCTCCCCAGAGGTGCTGTGCAAAGAGGGGATCAAGGTGCACAGGACGGTGCAGCAGAGTGGCCAGTTTGTCGTTTGCTTCCCGGGATCCTTTGTGTCCAAAGTGTGCTGTGGCTACAGTGTGTCTGAAACCGTGCACTTTGCTACCACCCAGTGGACAAGTATGGGCTTTGAGACCGCGAAGGTAAGCAGAGCTGACCTCTCCCCCCCCACACTGCCCCTGCATCCGTGTGAGTGCCGTGCAGGGGCGGGAACACGGAAGCATCTGCGCACACGTGTGTCTGTTTGTAGATAGTTCCTTTAGGAATATGTCTTTGAAATTCTTAAGAGGTGGATGAAGGGATTTCTAGGAATCAAAAGTTCGGGATTTGTTTGTATCACAGTTTTGATTAGACCGTTACTGACAGACCCCCTACAGTACTGGAAAACTACTGAAGATGCTGAAGGCAATTGCTTAGAATAAATGGACAGAGAGCCTCCACCCATCGTGAAGTAGGGGCAGCTGCCCGTGGTTGGCGGGGAAGTGCTGTGACTTTTCCTAGTACATGGTGCTTTTCTCCCGGGGAGGCAAAATTTGGAAGAGTTTTTAATCCAACTGCAAAGAGTTAGAAATTTAGACAGCCTGTCTGCTCCCTGCAGCACCAAGAAAAACCTTGACAGCTCCCTGGTAATGAAAATCCACCCTAAAGGGATGTGACTCCTCTTTTAGGAAATGAAGCGTCGCCATATAGCTAAGCCATTCTCCATGGAGAAGTTACTCTACCAGATTGCACAAGCAGAAGCAAAAAAAGAAAACGGCCCCACTCTCAGCACCATCTCAGCCCTTCTGGATGAACTCAGGTAACAGACTCAGGGTTCTGGGAGACCTCCAGGGCCCATGCCAGAGAGCTGGACATGGCTGCCCTTTTCGGGGCTTGGCAGGGTGGAGGCCCGGGGTGGGCAGACAGTGCTCCCTGCCTGCAGCCGCAGAGACTCTAGGAACTGCTGGCCCATGACATGCTCTTCCAGATGGGCAAAGGCTTTAAAAAAAATGTTTTTTTGAAAGTAATTTCCCCTTGATGCTCAGAGTCAGCACCTCCAGCGCCAAGAGGTTCCTCCCCTTTGTGGGTATGACTTCCAGGTTGGCTCCTGAGCCCTTGCACGTGGGCGCTGGCAGTCCTTGCTGACCCACTGTGTCAGAGCCTGGTTCCACACCAGTGAGGGGAGGGCATGGGTAGCTGCCTCCAGCCTCCATTTTCTTGTCAACCCTCTTGTGTTTTCCGTGTGTGTGCGCATGTGTGTGGCCTCCAGGCAGCAGCAGCTGACCCCAGCGTGTAGCTGCCGAGCAATCCTGCCTCCACAGCCCTCCCCTGACACGCACCCGTGCGACTGCAGGAGCCCTCCCCAAGGGTGAAGCGGGTCAGGGCAGAACGTCTGCTGTGTGGCCCCCTTCTCCTCTCCCCTATGCAGTTCTCGCTGTCTCTCCCATCCTGGAGCCAGGCTCAGGGTTGTGCTGTTAGCACGTGAATTTCAAACCTTCGGTGATGATCCCAGCGAATAGTTTGTTGACTCTGTCCTTGGCTTGGGATACAGGGAGAGGCCCTTGCTAGGTGGCCATGGTTGCGCAGGCATTGTGACGTGTTTGTCCCCACGTTACTATGTCCAGCTGCAGAGCAGCCTCATCAGCCAGGGCCGTCCCTGACCTTTAGACTAAGGCAGCCAGGACGCAGGCTGGACTTTGCCCCCCAGCAGGGCTCACTCCCTGACAGGAGGGTGTGTATGGAGGGAGGCTGGTGTGTGGTGCACGTGTCCCCTCTGCTGGCTGTCGCTGAAGGTGCGGGCCGTCCCTGTGTCTGGCAGGGATACAGAGCTGCGGCAGCGCAGGCAGCTGTTTGAGGCTGGCCTCCACTCCTCCGCGCGCTACGGCAGCCACGACGGCAGCAGCACGGTGGCGGACGGGAAGAAAAAGCCTCGAAAGTGGCTGCAGTTGGAGACGTCGGAGAGGAGGTGTCAGATCTGCCAGCACCTGTGCTACCTGTCCATGGTGAGCCGCCGGGGTTGCCCCCGAAGAGGGAGGGCCCCCTCCACCAGGATACCTGCTGTGCCCCCATCTCTGCATCTCTGCCATGGGACCTTGGCAGGGCTTCTGGCCTCCAGAGGCGGCTGCCTCACCTGTAGTGGCCAGGCCACACAGAGGCTGTCCCCTGCTCTGCCCACGTGTGGCCCTCCCCTTTGCCCTGCATTGCCTCCTTCCTCCCTGGGAAGCAGGTGGCCTCCCCACCATCCTGCTTTGTCACTCCAGTCCCCATGCTCTCTGCTCATTTCCATCCTTTGGGCTGTGAGGAGAGGGTTTCCCACAGTGCTGGGTGGCATCTCCCACCCCTGCCCTGTGGCCTGGCCCTGCTGGACCTGGGCCCATGGCCTCTGCCCTTTGGCTCTGTTCTAAGCTTCCTGGTTCTGGTCAGCTACGTCATCTGCCACAGCCCCTGAGGACTTTGGAATCTGTCCTTGGTGAAAGCTGATGCTCCCTCCATCCCATCTGGGATAGAGATGCTTTTCTGGCACAGCCACTCCAGGCTACAGCAGGCTGTGTTCCTCTCGCCTTCTTAGCTGTGTCCTGCTGCCTGCTGTGTGCCCACCTGCCTGCCCCAGCTTTGGGCTTCATAACACACACCCTGCCTCCTCCCCCTGCTCACCCCTGTTCCAGGCCAGAGGTGGGCTCAGAAAAGCCCTTATGTGGCAACTGGACTGCCATGGCCCTTGCCATGTTTCTTCCAGTCTGTACCTGACCTCTCACCAGGCAGCTGCCCTGACACACTCTGGGTAGGGATGCCCAGCTGGCACCACAGATGGCTACATGCAGCTATGCTGCACACCTTAGCCTGCGATACGCAGCATGCCTGATGGGCCTGACCATCCTCCCAGCCTTTTCCCTTTCCACCAGCACCTCTGCTTCTCCAGTGCAGAAGCCAACTAGGAGGTGCCCACCCCATATGCTGCGTGGTGCTGGCATCCCACAGGTGCCCCTCAGCTGCACACTTCCGAGGTCAGTGCTTCCTTGTCTCTGCCTGTCCATGGTGGGCCAGGACTGAAACCTGGGTTCAGTCTCCCTGGCCTCCCACTGTGACTGTCTGCCACCTCACCTGGAGTCCCAGCCCGCCCTGTGGAGGAGAGCGCACAGCCTCTCCCAGATGAGTCAGAGGGGCTTTGTAACATTCGAAAGATCTAAGTCAGGCACAGTGGCTCATGCCTGCAACTTCAGCACTTTGGGAGGCTGAGAAGGGTGGATCACGAGGTCGGGAGTTTGAAACCAGCCTGGCCAACATGGTGAAACTTTGTCTCTACTAAAAATACAAAAATTAGCCAGGCTTGGTGGCGTGCTCATGTAGACCCAGCTAGCTACTTGAGAGGCTGAGGCAAGAGAATTTTTTTTTTTTTTTTGAGATGGAGTTTCGCTCTTGTTACCCAGGCTGGAGTGCAATGGCGCGATCACCGCTCACTGTAACCTCTGCCTCCTGGGTTCAGGCAATTCTCCTGCCTCAGCCTCCTGAGTAGCTGGGATTACAGGCAGGTGCTAGCATGCCCAGCTAATTTTTTGTATTTTTAGTAGAGACGGGGTTTCACCATGTTGACCAGGATGGTCTCGATCTCTTGACCTCGTGATCCACCTGCCTCAGCCTCCCAAAGTGCTGGGATTACAGGCTTGAGCCATGGCGCCCGGCTGAGGCAAGAGAATTGATTGAACACAGGAGGCTGAGGTTGTAGTGAGCTGAGATCACGCCACTGCACTCCAGCCTGGATGATAGAGCAAGACTCCATCTCAAAAAAAAAAAAAAAATCGGAAAACTCTTGGTCCATCTTCCATGTCCTCCTTATTTAAGGACACAAAAGACATTGTATCAGCTAGGCCCACCTCATGGCCTCAGTTGAGCTGATTTACCTCGTTAGAACTTTACCCTCAACTCCAGCCACAGCTGAGATCCTGGAGGTTCAACCTATGCATTTGATGGGGGACAAATGTAGTCTGTGACCACCTGCATCCCATCCTGTAGATTTCCTTCTATCCATTTTTTCCATTAGAGTTCTCAAAATGTATTACATAGAGCCATTCTGTTCTTAAGTGAGCAATTCCAGGCATTTTCCCAAATCTTCCAATGTTTTATAAACATCACTGATAAAAGTTGCATAGCTTGGTGTCTCTCTCTTTTTTTTTTTTTTTTTTTTTTTTTTTGGAGACAGTCTCGCTCTGTTGCCCAGGCTGGAGTGTAGCCTGTGAACACGTCTCACTGCTGTCGCTCTGTTGCCCAGGCTGGAGTGCAGTGTGTGAACCCGTCTCACTGTTGCTCTGTTGCTCAGTTTGGAGTGCAGAGCGAGAACCCGTCTCACTGTAGCCTCAACCTCTTGGGCTTAGGTCATCTTCCCACCTCAGCCTCCTGAGGAGCTGGAACAGTAGGTGTGTCACCACGCCCAGCTTTCTTTATTTTTGGTAGAGATGGGTTTTCGCTATGTTACCTAGGCTGGTGTGGACTCCTGGGCTCATGTGGGCCGCCTACTTCAGCCTCCCAGTGCCCCGGGGTTACAGGCGTGAGCCGCCACACGCAGCTGTCTGTCCCCTTCCTGAAACATTCTACCCCTTATCCATGCATATGGGGGTTGTATGGCAGTCACACCTGTGGGTGAAGCTGGTTTGTCCATGTGAGCTGGCACTAGGTGGCCTCCTCATGTTCATGTCTTTCAGAAACTTAGAGATGTCACCTGGCGTTTCCTGTCAGCCTGAACGTTATATTAAAGAGAATATGTTGTGAGGCCGGGCATGGTAGGTCAGTCCCAGTGCTTTGGGAGGCAGAGGTTGGCAGATCACTTGAGACCAGGAATGCAAGACCAGCCCGGTTGACACAGTGAGACTCTGTCTCTACAAAAAAAGACAAAAAATCAACTGGGTGTGGTTGCGGGAGGATCACTTGAGCCCCGAAGTCCAAGGCTGCAGTGAGCCATGATCACACCGCTGCACGCCAGCCTGGGTGACGCAGTGGCAACCTCTTTAATTAATGGCAACAACAAAAAATTCGAAATCCATAGGTGAAAATTGGGGTTTTACTTAGGTTTATAATATGTGTTGCTCGGATTACAATACATTTGTGCATTTCAGTTTGGTGTGTTTCCTGTCCTGGGCCCCAAGTGTCTTTCCAGGGTCTTGTTTCTGTCAGTAGGTGTCATATGAGTCCCAAGGAACTTGTTCTCTGTTCCTTGCTTAGAAACGCTGCAGAGGAAAACCTAGATCCTTCCCCTCAAGCTTTCTGAGCAAGGCCGAGGACCCGCTTGCACCTTGAGTATTAGAGTTTTTCCTTATTTTCAATCTCTGATTAGAATAGGACTGGGAGTCAACGTGAGGTATGGGACCTTCCCACAGAAACTTGGCAACTGTTTCCCTTCAGCTGGCCCCTCAGCCCTAGACAGGGCCCCAGTGAGGGTCTCTGTCCCAGCACTCCCTGTGGTGTCGGGCAGCAGGACACACACACTGGCTGGACAGCTGTGGGCTTTGTGGGCAGCCCACCCAGGGAGGCCGGGGCCGGTGGGTGAGTTCGTTCCAGCCGCAGAGATTGGGAATCCAGGATGTTGAGAGTTTCGGGGGCTTTGCGTGGTGGTGTTGATTGTCCTTAGCTCTGCTGACTATGAGCTCTGTGGACTCATGGACACCATGAGACCAGTTTTGCTGCTGGAAAGTCCAGGGTACGTTCCCCGCATGGCTGCCCACGTTGAGTCCTTCACGTTCCACGTCCATGCCAGCACTAGGGTAGTGTCCAACACAGACTCTCAGGAGCCCTCAGACCTTAAGAGACTAGAAATACACACCACTGTCTTCATGGGCCTTTACCAGCCTGGTGCTGACCGGACCTCTCCCAGGAAACTCCAGGGGACTTGAGGACCACCCCGGAGGTCTGACTGGGAGGTGGTCAGTGGCTCAGCTTCCTAGTTGAAGATCATGCTCTGAGTGGTTGGTCAGTTTTGGTTTTAGTCCATTTCCAGTGTGGTGGGTGCCGGGGCTGCTCTGGCCAGGGCGGTGACTGGGGGGGCTGCCTGGCCGGGTGTGCTCCAGCCTTACCCTGGAGTGCTGTGGAACTTCCTCATGACCTGGTGTGCTGCTCTTCCTCACAGGTGGTACAAGAGAACGAAAATGTCGTGTTCTGTCTGGAGTGTGCTCTGCGCCACGTGGAGAAGCAGAAGTCCTGCCGCGGGCTGAAGCTCATGTACCGCTACGACGAGGTCAGTCCCTGCTCTCGGGGGTGGGAGTTGGGGGCAGCCTGCATGGCAGTTCTGTGTCTGGTAGATAACCAGGGCTCTTCAGGTCGAAAACCCATGCAGGCCCCACGGTAGGATCCCGACGGGAGCAGGGTTCCCATACAGCCCGTAGCACTGTGCATTTGGACTTCAGAGATAGGCTCTAAGCAGGGCTGAGGCTCTTCCTGCAGCAGCCCCCTGACTTTCCCATGGACCCCACCACTAGAGCCAGACCCTTTTTCGTGGTCACCTGTCCCAGGCACGGTGGAACAGTCGGCAGTGGAATCTCCACCTGCCACCAGCAGCCCTTCCAGGCTGGGACAGCTGGAAGTGTCTAGGATGATGGGGCAGTTTGGACCCCATGATGTGAAATCCCAGTGTCTTCCTGTGGGCCCTGCCATCTTCTGGAGAGAGAGGTCATAATGATGCACAGACTGTGCAGCTGGGGCCCCCCTGAGCGGCAGAAGTCCTGGCAGCAGCGCCTCTTGCCTGCTCTGCCCAGTTGCCCATGTGTGCTTCCCATGGACTCTGATGAGGCTGGTTATGAAGAAGGTCACCACCTTGTGGTCTTGGCACATTTGAGGCTACTGAGTGGGGCAGGTGCTGCTGGTATGACTGTGCAGGGCCTGGTGTGTCTGGAGGCCCATGTGGTGGGTCTCACTGGATAAGCCTTTAGCTAAACAATTGGAGAGCTGGAAGAAGCTCTTTGCATCTGCTTTTTTTTTAAGGGCATGCACGCTGGGGGAAGGCGATAAGCACCTTGCCGTCCTTCCTTCACCTCAACAGCAAATGTCCAGGCAGTCTTTGCGACGGCTGAGTGGGAGCATGGCTCTGGCACCTTGCGGGATGTAGACACGGGGAGGCTTCCTCTGGCTGCCTGGAAAGGGTTGTGCTTTTCACTGGCAGCCTGTTTCTGTAGCCAGATGTCTGACGTGACCAGAATCCTGGGAACAGAATGGCATGCAGGGGCTGTCTGAGACTCAATGGTTGGTTTTGATAAATTAGGAGGAGCAAAGGCATTTAGAAGCTGCGGACTTGCAGTGGCTGGCATAGCTCAATGAGTGAGTCTGTGCCTGTGTTGGCTGTGGAGTTGAGCTGTGCCTTTTTTTTTTTTTTTTTTGAGACAGTCTTGCTTTTTTGCCCAGGCTGGAGTTCAGTGGTATAATCTCAGCTCACTGCAACCTCCATCTCCCAGGTTAAAGCAATTCTCCTGCTTCAGCCTCCCAAGTATCTGGGATTACAGGCACCCACCACTATATACCCAGCTAATTTTGGAATTTTTAGTAGAGATGGGGTTTCACCATGTTGGTCAGGCTGCTATCAAACTCCTGATCTTGTGATCCATGCACCTCAGCTTCCCAAAGTGCCAGGATTATAGGCGTGAGCCACCGTGCCCGGCTCATTACTTGGGAGAGACCATTGCAAAATCTTGTTCTTACCCTCCTAGTGTACCCAGCACACAAATCGCCCAGGTCCATGCCTACTGACTTGCGATAGTCTGCTTTAAACACCCCACTTTGTGTGGTTGTGAACCTAGATTGCAAATCCCTGAGCTCATGGCTTGGGTTCTCATGGACCATGAGGCTGCCTGTGGAGTTTGGAGCCATTTGTGCCCCCGGCCCTTGCAGGCTAGCTGAGCAGGGAGGGTCCAGTGAGTGGGGTGTTGGGCGGCCGCTGCCAGGCCTGCTGTGAGGGCACTGGTCTGAGGCAGGTGCTGTCCATCTAGCGAGCTGCACACAGAAGGGGGAATGCTGCCCTCTTGTAACTGCACACCCCAGCTCCTCCTCATGGTCAGGTAGCTGTAGCCCTCTAAGTGGGTTTTAAGGCAGCTCATCCACTTATCCGTTAACAGTGTTTATCATCAGTCCCTCAAGCGGTCAGGGTCACAGCTATTGTGTTATTACAGATATGTGGCCCACCTCTTCCGAGGACACCTTTAACTTCTTTGTGATGGGAGCCAGCTGTCACTGTTTTCCACCCTCATCTCCGGGGCTTTCCAGAGGGCTGGGGATCACACCCTCAGAAGTTCCCTTCCATGGCTGGCTTCCTCCCTGCTGGGCTTAGTGTGGTTCCCAGACACCCCTGGCCCAGAGAGATGCTCGTGAGATGCACGTTTGCTACTCCTCCCCTTGTTCTTTTCAAAAAATGGGATGATAGGATGTACTGTGTGAAAGTTACACAGTTTTGGTGCCGACAGATAACCGATTCTCTCGGGTGAATTGCAGGGATGCCGTTTTTGTTTGCTGCAGATAACAGAAGAGGAAGTAGTAGAAATATGTATAGGTGACAAGTGTTTGCATTTATTTGCATGAGCAGGTTAAGTGGCTGGTAGCTAAAGTGAGTCAAGCAGCTTGGTTATTTGTGTCACCATCCAGGACGCAACAAACCCCCGGGGGTCTCTTTGCTGAGTGCTCCCCTGCCAGCCTTGCCCTTATGAGCTGGTTAACCCACCTCGGAAACCATAGTGGACACCAGGGTGGTGGTGGCGAGGATGAAAGGGCCGTGCATGCAATGTGGCATCCGGCGGAGCTGAGAAAGGGAGATGTGCTGCCTCTTGAGCCTCTTCGGGGCATTTTAAAAGCTGTTAGTTGGTGTGGTGGAGGGGACCCCTGGCCACTGATCTCTGCCCTAGACCTGCCCCTGCGTGACTCTCAGGGACAGAGCTCTTGTTATTAATTCTGTGTCTTCCTCTCACCCCCAAACAGGAACAGATTATCAGTCTGGTCAATCAGATCTGCGGCAAAGTGTCTGGTAAAAACGGCAGCATTGAGAACTGTCTCAGTAAACCCACACCAAAAAGAGGCCCCCGAAAGAGAGCCACGGTGGACGTGCCCCCCTCCCGGCTGTCAGCCTCCGGTTCATCCAAAAGTGCTTCGAGCTCATCATGAAGATGCCAACGCCCGTGGTTGATTTATATATATTTTTTTGTAATTATTATATTCTAGTTTGGAGTACTTGCTGTAGGATTCAAGCTGTCTTTGCACTAGCTCTAAAGAAGATTTTCTTCTGGTTTTAGAGAACTAATTTTGTTTTAGCATTAAACTGTTGAACTTTTTTTTGTACTTAGAAAACCTAGATACTGCAGTCAGATTTTGGAAACTGCCGTATAGTCACTGTTTTAAAAACCCTTGAGGGGCTGTATTAATTTGTATTGCCCCTGGCTGACAAAAGCCTTTTTTGTTTCTTTTTTTTTTTTTTTTTTTTTTTTTTTTTTGTAACTGTTGGGGGAAAAAAGGCTTTTTAACCCATTTTTGAAGAGGGTGAAGTTTGGAGAACAAATTTAAAAACCATCAGTCATGTGAGCAGATTTTTTAGAAGGGATAGGAGACACGCACGCGCGCGTGTACACACACACACACACACACAAAACTTGAAAAGAAATGGCTTTGCTTTGGCTGTCGTTGTCTGCCGTGGCCAGATGAGCTTGTGAGCTGGGAAGCCAGGGCACCCCCGTTTTGTTTCTCTGGGCGGTTGTGGCAGCTGAAGGCAGACGTTGTTTCCTGACCACAGGCGGAACGAGGAGCCGGGAGCGAGTGGGCTCTCCACCAGCACATCACTATGCATCTGTTCAAGGAAGGAAGGAACGCCAGCAAGGAAGACGGAAGAGACTGCCTGCCTTGGAGGGGTCACGTGAGGGAGACCTGTGCCTGATTTCATTAGGAAATCCATTCTGTTATTTTTTGGTGCTGTTGGCTACTTTATCAAAAAACCCTTCAATAGCATCCTTAAGATATTAAAAAAAAAAAAAAAAAAAAAAAAAAGTGATGGAAGCCGTAAGTGCTTCTTGGTCATCGACGTGCAATCTTCTAACATTCCATCACCATCTCACCGCTTCTTGTTTGACACCTTCACAAGTCAGCATTAATCTTGCTTTTTAAATTTTTCATTTATGATCACCCATAGAGAGCCACTAGGAGGCCTGCAGTTCTTTTTGAATGTGAAAATGCATTTGCGCTCATCTTGTCTATTTTTTCTCTTCATGTTGTAACAAAAAGGAAAAAAAAGAAAAAAAAAAAATCCCATCCCTTTTGTACATACGCCTGTAAATTGTTTTAAATACTTGAGCCTTTTTCTCGGTGGGGGGTGGGGAGGGGGAGAGAAGACAAGATGAAGAAAAGCCTTACATTTCAGTTTCTTCATCGGTTGGATTGGATGCTTACAGGGTTTTTCTTGTAACATTTATAAGTGCTGCTTACATCACTGAACAACAACAACAAAATAATGGAGTAGCTGTTGCCCTTCTCCAGTTGTGTGTACAGTATGTGTGGAATAAAAAAGGGAAACTTTTCACAAGCTGTTCTTTGTTTCATAATTGGATCCATCAATCCGTAGCTACCCATGTTGCACTGAGCTTGCCAGTGGTGACTGCCAGGAGCGTCCTCTGATCCACTTTGTTGGTTGTTGTTGCAGAAGACTGAACTGTTTTGGAATATTTAACAATTACAGAACCAGAGTCGTGTTTTCCAATGTGGTTGTCCGGTTTCTATGGCCTTGCTGTGTACTTTCCCTCTTTTTGACAGTAAACTTCTGCCTATGGCTTACAGTTTGACATTTAATTTATTAGCGCTGCTCTGCACCCTCCCTTGGGGGGAGACTTCATGTGGTTTATTGCGAGTTTTTTGTTTACTTTTCAGGTTTGTACTACAAGGTTTAATAATAAAATCAACGTTTTTTGGACATTTGTCTGTCTTGTGGAAGATGACTGAATGGAATGAGCTCTCTCTCTTCTCATCCATGGGCAGGGGTGCAGAGGATCTCTCATGCTGCAGTCCTGCCCCTCCAGCTCCCACCTGCTGGTGGCGGGGGGGGGGGGTCCCCTTTCAGCAGAACCTAATGGTTTCCATGTGGCCCAGCCCGCGGGGCCAGAGCTGGCCACAGGCTGCAGCCATCCCACCTCATCTCCCATTGAGCGTGGCACCCCTGCTGAGCTTCCATGATGAGATGACACTGGGCACATTGAGGGTGTTATGGCTCATCTCAATGGGGCATCTGTCCTCCCTCTCGTTGGGCTGGAGGAGTGATAGACGGAACATATCACCAGGGGACCAGTTTCTTTTCAGGAGAAAGCAGGTATGGAGGATTGCTTTGGGCTTCTGTTCTTTTGGGCCCTGGGGTGTGAAAGTAGGGTTTGGACAGGTTGGCTATCATACTGATCAAAGGAAAACCCCCTATGAAATGGCTGTTCCCTGCCTCACGCAGAAGTGAGCCCGGTGTAGCCTCCACAGCCTGGCCCAGGCCCTGCCCCCATGCTACCTCCTGGGGCAGCCCCCAGTGACCTGCCCCCTTACAGTGGCCTTAAGGAGGCCTGTATTTAGAAAAGTTTGTCTACAAACTAGCTCCATTTACCGTTTCATGTCCTCACCTTTATTGTTTGCCGTTCTTTCAGTTTCTCATGAATTACTGGCAATTATGTAAAAATCAATACCCTCTAGAAGCATCCTGGCTTTCCAGGTGGACTTGCGCACACAGACAAAACTGGATTCCATGTCCCAGTTTAAGAGTCACTCTCGTCACTACCATCTGGAGCAGCCTCTCTGTCGGTTTGTGATGTGGCCAGGGCAGTGTCCACCTGAACATCCTCCTCATCAGACTGAACGACAGGGGACTCCCCACCCTCACTGATGTCCTGGGCGGCCGTGTCGATGCAGGTGGAGGATGAGGAAGGCGGCCTGGCTTGCAATTCTGAGGGATTTGGAACCTGGAGGGTAATCTCATTCTGACAGGCACTGGAATCAGGCCCTGAAAACAACACGGGGAAGAACAAGCTGTCATAAAAACATTTGCGATTTAGAATTGCTGCCAGCAGTTGCGGAACGTGCCCATCAGGAAAGGGGTGGGTGGGTTAGGGACCCGGGGCCCGCAGAACTAGGGAACTGCCCTGGAAGGCGCCGCGCTGAGTGATGCAAGGCGGCTGCAGGGCGACCCTTCTGTCTCTCGATGAGTCAGCCACTGTGACAAAGGTCAAGACTGTAACTTGTGTCTTTAGGAGCAGTCCCGTAACCTTGATGATCTAGACTGATTTCTTTTTACCCTTTTCAGTAATTCAGAGACGCCACTGCTGAGCAAGTCAGAATTACTGACCTTTCAGCAGTTCTCCAGTTTTATGGAACTAAATAGGCTCTTCAAGGAATCAAATTCTATATGCAAATTCTCAATGTTTCCTTGTCTCCAGGTGAGGGCTCATTCTGGTTTCCAGTATTCTGGCCTTCTCAGGATGGCGTCAAATGCACCCAAGCCCCTTCTCTTCCCTGGGATGACACAGTTCTGACAGACTGCCAGAAGAATGGGGTGGGAAGTCTAGAGGAAGCGAGACTGTGGTAATGGTAGAACCTTCTAGAGATGGCTAAGGTGCTGCTGGGAGCTTTGCCTTGACCTGGCCAGAAGAACTAGTCAGAAATTTAAAACGCACCAAGCCCAGGTCCAGGTATGGCACCTGCATAAATATTTGCTACATGCATGTGAAAAAACTTTGAGAGGGCATGAAAGGAACTGAGTTTTAAAACACAAGCCAAGAGCTAGACACACCATGGCTTTGCCCAGAGCGGACGTGCCCCTAAATGCCTGCCGCACAAAGCCGGAGAGTTTCACGTGAGTCCACACCTCCCTGCAAACTCCGGTCCTTAGCCATAAGCAACAGCCTCAAATGGACTTCTGGGCGGTAAAGGAGGGAAAACAAGAAGCTCTCAGTTCACCAAAGTTACTAGAGTAGAGCAGGTCAAATCTTTGGGAAAATTCATGACGGAACCACCACTGTTGCAGCTGCCACACAGGAGCCAGGGAGCCAGGAACTGGCTGTAAGCTTAGAGGTTGTGTGTAAGTGGCTGGCCAATGATTCTCATGTATCGATCAAGCCCTGGTCAGTTTATGCAAGTCTGTCAACTCCTACCTAAGGCGGGGGACAGCACAGTGTTATCTTCTCCACCAGAGTTCAGGAAGACGTCCAGGGCCTCCTGGTCGGATATGTCCATGAGGTCCATCTGCTCTAGCATGTCCACGTTCACTTCCATGGATGACATGCTGCCTATGGGCTCTGTGAATAGAGGAGCAGCATGAGAAAAGACACTTCGTCTTTCAAAGGGGAACTTCCATTGGCATTAGGCTAACTGCATTGCATTTTCTAAGCTTACTTCAAAATGGAATTTGAAGCAACGTATTAGTAGATGACACATGCCAGTCTGGTACTTTAAATGCCTCCTCAATCACCCTTGGCAACCATTATTACCTTTTACACTTTCCTTAATCTGTGCATCCCCAGCCTTTTGGAGTGCTACAGATGGACCAGTCTCTGCATTAAGCGACTCCTGGCTGTTTGGAGTAGGACATTTGGCCTGTCTCAAAGAGGCCAACATGCCTGCAGCAACAGTTAGCGACCGACCTCCCTGCCAGCCATGGCTCTGCTTCCTGCCTACAGGTCCCTGAACCTTCCAGGCAGGCACAGTCCTTTAATTGCAAGTGGACTTTCCACTGCCTTGGAACATTGCTCAGGCCCAACGGCAGAAGGGGTAAACATCTGTAAGCTGCATGAGCTCCCTGCAGTGGAAGCACAGACTAGAGAAAATACCCAGCTCGCCAACAGATGACCCCAAGAACCAGCTCACGCCTAGTCAGCCTCAGCCCAGGCACTGAACAACGGACCCCCATAGGTCTTACTCACCTATGTGAACTACCTCTGTGGTCCAGGAAACCACAAGCCACAGAAGTGACCCTAGCCGTGGGGATGCCTGGCAGAAACAAATGCAAATTGTTTCTGGAAGGACCCTCTCTTAACCTTTAATACAAAGTCAGTCCCAACCCAATCTGGCATTTGTAACACACGTGAAATTAGTCACTGAGCGAAGGGCAGCAGAAATACTTGAGATGGCTGTTCACACACTGCAGTCACAGAAAAAGTATAGTCAAAAAAGGTGTCAAAAGTAAGGACAGACAAAGAGACTGAGATCTGAAACCTGGGGCACAGTCACAGCCCAATAGAAAAATCATAAACTAGAAGGCATAAACTGAGTAAATCTGCCACAATGCAGCATAGAAAAAGAAAATCTGAGAGAGCCTAGCCTAAGAGGTGTGCGAGATGAGAAGTGCCGCATCTGGTCACGTTTCAATGTGAGAGAACTCAATTCAAAGAGGCTGATTATTTCCCCAAATCGATGAAAGACCTCAGGACCCAGATTTAAAAAGCAAAACATTCCAAGCAAGATCAAAGCAATCCTCACCTACCTCAATTGCTTTGAAGTTGAAGAACATCAAAGACCAAAGGCTCTCTAAAAGGCAGCCAGAGAGAGAGAGGGCAGGTTAAGGAAGAGAAGGAAATAATTAGGATGACAGGAACTTCTGAACAACAGTAATAAAAGCCAGAGACTGTGGAATAAGTTCAAAGAGGAGAGCGGAATGTCATCTCTAAAATGGAGTAACACTAGATATCATTTAAGATCCAGGAGAAGACAGAAGCACAGACCAAGAAGAAACACGTCATCATGAACCTGCTCTTGCTACAGGCACAGAGAAGGAAGGTCTGAGTGCAAGAAACCATGTTAAGCAAAGAGACCTGGACTGCAGCGGTAGGGCGAGAGAGGAGGGTGCCCAGAGCGCAGCAATGTGAGATCCCAGCTTCATCTGGGAGGAAGGTGAGTTTCATTATCTTCAGGCTCACAAAATGATTAAGGTTCAGCACTCAAATGAGAGGTAAGAGTAATTCCTAATGGTAATTGGGGGAGAAGTGTTAGATGGTCCCATGCTGGGCAGCAGCATCCCAGTCACCTGAGCCAGACTGCTCCGCCTCAGACTTGGCCAGGGGTTGACCTCAGCCACACAAGGACACCAGTTCACTGGCCTTGATCTTCACGGCTGACTGGTCAGGCTTGTTCTTTTTGGGAGAAGTCTTCTGAGGGTTTCCCTTGTGACCCATGGAGGTCTTTTGCCAAGGTGTGTCTTTTAGATTTTGGCTTTTGCTTAGACTTGTTTTGAAACTTTCTGTCTGTGCCATCATGAAAAGGGCAGGAGTATAACTTAGGAGAGAAAAAGCTGGACTAAGAAGCATAGGAAAAGCTTTCAGGAAAATTCGATACCACCAAATAAGATAGTAATGGGTATGTCAGTGATCGCAGTAAATGTCACTGAGCCAAACTTGCCAGTTATGAGATGGTACAACTGAACTACAACGATAAAATGCCCCTACCTTCTGTCTATGGGAGACAGATATGGAGACACAGAAACATTAACATTTGTCTTAACAAATGGAAAGATATAATGAGCAAACAAAGCAGATTATAGCTCTATTAATATCAAAATAGATTTAACGGGAAACAAAAGTAATATTGGGATAAAGACTGGTACTTAATGACTTACAAATGCTTGAATTCACCAGGAAGAGAATCCCAAATTTCTATTTTTGGTTATATTTTTAAAGTAAAAAATGGCAGAATGACTGAATACATAACATCCATAGTCTTGGAGGCATATTACTACATCTATTTGATGACTGACAGTCCCAAAGTTAGTAAATTGAGATACCATTCTCCAATCACAGTGAAATTTAGTTAGAACTAGGAAGACTTCCACACACTATTTTTTAAAAAAACACTTATAAATAGTTCGCAAATCAAATATGAATGCTAATGACAAAATTTACCTAGAAATTACTAATATTAAAATTTGAAGAATTCAGCTAAAAGTGGACCCCTGCAAGAAATCCATAGCTTTGAATGCCTTACTAGAGAGGAACGCTGAAAATCAAGCCTGAATATTCAAGTTGGATTAGAAAAAAAACAAATGCCCAAAGAAAGCAAAACTGAAGAGAAGTCAATGAAACAGTACAAAGAACAAAAAAGCTAGTTCTTTAGGGGAAAAATGCTTTAAAATGGTTACTTCTAGGTAAGACTCATCGTAAACTGAGACAAAAGGAATAAAGGGCACATTAACAACAATCGTAAAGTGACCCTAACCAGAACAAAGCTATGAGGGAAGAGCGCGCAAATCTGACAACTAAAGATAATTCCAGGAAAAACTTTCCAAAATTAACAAGAAATAGTAAATCTCAATCATCAGAAAAAAGAATTGGTAGCTCTTCAAACAGAGAAGTCAGTCACTGGTCTAGTTCTACTGAACACTCAGGAATACGAGAGGCGCGTGCTTGCAGAAAACTGATACCACTAAAAGGCCCAGTCTGTCTCTATATAGCAACTTACTGCAATTCCGGTCAAACTGCAGAGTCTTCAAAAAACTTCAAACTGTGACATTTATTCCAAAGGACAAGATCCCAGAACAGTGATGATAACTATGAAGATGTGCAGGACAGGTTGGGAATGGCTCCAGCAGACTCACTAGGAAACATTTTCTCAGCCCCAGCCCTCCTGACACTGCACCAGATCGTTCTTGGTTGGAAGGTTGTTCTGGGGAGGTGGGATGTTTAACTGCATCCCTGGCTTCTGCCCACTAGATGCCAGCAGCACACCCTGACCCCAGGCACGACAAGCAAAATGGTCTCCAGATATTGCCAAATGTCCCCTCTGGGCAAAAGTGTCCCCAGCTGAGCAGCAGCACTTGATGGATAAGTATACAACAGTATGGTTTTGGCTCGGGGTTAGATGGTAAAAGATGGAGCCAAAAAGAGCCTTGAAGACTCCCGAGTATAGAGAAACTGCCAAAGGTGTCATTTCATTCCAACAGATTAGCAAAAGTTTAAGAAATCTGACACTACCAAGTGCAGACAAAGATGTAATCAGAACATGCATACATGGCTGGGGAGACTAAACTGGTGCAAATGTTTCGGCAAGAAATCTGACAGAATCTAGTGAAATGAAAGCCATGCCATTATGACCAGCAATTCCTCTTAGAGAACCATTTCTTTAGGGTATGTAAGTGTGGTCCCCCTCAGCATCACCTGGGAACTTGTTTTATTTATTTATTTTTGAGACGGAGTTTCGCTCTTGTTACCCAGGCTGGAGTGCAATGGCGCGATCTCGGCTCACCGCAACCTCTGCCTCCTGGATTCAGGCAATACTCTTCCCTCAGCCTCCTGAGTAGCTGCGACTACAGGCACGCGCCACCATGCCCAGCTAATTTTTTTTTTGTATTTTTAGTAGAGACGGGGTTTCACCATGTTGACCAGGATGGTCTCGATCTCTTGACCTCGTGATCCACCTGCCTGGGCCTCCTAAAGTGCTGGGATTACAGGCTTGAGCCACCGCACCTGGCACCCCCGGCCCGGGAACTTGTTTATGATGCAAATCCTCAGGCCCCACCCCAGACCTGTGCAGTCAGAATCCCTGCAGCGGGCCCAGGAATCCATGTCTGAACAGCCCTCCAGGAGACTGTGATGCTGCTCAAGTGTGAGAATAGCTGGTCTTAAAGCAACTCTTATGCATGTGTACAGACAGACAACTCGTAAGAATGGCCAAGGCCGGGTGCGGTGGCCTGCGCCTGTAATCCCAGCACTTTGGGAGGCCCAGGTGGGAAGATAACGAGCTCAGGAGTTTGAGACCAACCTGGGCCACACTGTGAGACCCCTGCCTCTCTAAAACATTAGCCAGGCATGTTGGTGCACACCTGTAGTCCCAGTTACTAGGCAGTCTGAGGTGGGAGGACCACTTGAGCCCAGGAGTGCCAGCCTGCAGTGAGCTATGATCACACCACTACTCTCCAGCCTGCCTGGGCAATCGAGTGAGACCCTGTCTCAAAAAAAAAATAGAGTCTGGCTGGGTGTGCTGGCTCATGCCTGTAATCCCAACACTTTGGGATGCGGGCTGATTACGAGAGGTCAGAAGTTTGAGCCAGCCTGGCCAAACCCGTCAGTGAAACCCCATCTCTACTAAAAGAAAGAATACAAAAATTAGCCAGGCATGGTGGGTACCTGTAGTCCCAGCTACTCAGGAGGCTGAGGTAGAAGAATCGCTTGAACCCAGGAGGCAGGAGGTTGCAGTGAGCTGAGATCGCATCACTGCACTACAGCCTGGGCAACAGAGTGGAAAAAAAAAGAAAGTCCATGCCAGCATTGTTTTTATTAAATATGAAATCTGGAAACAAATACCCAATAAAACAATGAATAAATTATATTTGTTCAATGGAAATAAATTCTTAAAAATGGAAATCAAATTAGAGCTGAGTGTATCAGTATGGATGATTCTCAAAATCATAGGCACTTAGGTGCACTTTTGCCTGTAAATTCTAACTTTATTATAACTTTGTCACTAGCCACAAACCTCATGCTCTTCCCAGAGTACTGAGTCCACTCTGGAGCACCCCAGAGCTGAGTCAATTCCTCTGCAAGCAGTGGCACCCCTGGCTCCATAGGATTCCACTTTGCTGAATTACCGGTTCAGAGAGACAGGAGCCTGAAATCCATGGGAGTACAGAGCCAGAAACCCCAGGCACAGACCAGGACATCTCTGAGGTGATCTATGAATAAGTAACTTCATCGGCAGGATACTGTCACACTCAGCAATAAAATGAAAGCAATAAAAATGCTTTTCTAAGGAAATGGCAGTCACATCAGGCAGCAGATCAAACCTAATTATGTCCTAACAGCAGGGAGAGCTCTGCGGGGAATGTGGTGGGGCCCAGGCCCCCTCTGCTGCCCAGCCCTCCCAGCACCACCTTCAGTCCTCAAGCCTGAGAGGCTCTGTGCTTGGGGGGCCATCCAGCCTCAGCACCATCCAAGTGGGCAGAGACGTGCCTTCACCCCTTACTCTGATGATTCTCTGGTTAACACTTTCCATGACCTCATCTTAATTAGCAAATGATGCTTCTGAAAGTGAAATTCCAACTGCTATTTCTGATTTAATGGAATGGGCCAAAACACCATGTTCACTGTAGAGGTTTTAAAATTTTGATCGATTCTCCTCAATTAATACTAATTCTTGGAGACGAAGATTCCTCCCTGAGAAAGGCTGGGAAGTCTGAGCCGGCTCTGCACAGCCGTGCAATGAGATGCCTGATTCCCATTTGTGGCTGTGCCTCGGCTCTAGCTGAAGAGAAAGTTAAAAAGACCAGGGCCTCCAATTTTCTTCTTCAAAGCTTTCAAAACCATATATTGGCAACAAGTCCCTGACTCCATTTTTTACCTTAAAAAATTAGCCCAACATTTTCTTGGAACTTAATCTTTGAGATACTCAAAACCACAAAAATTTAAGCCCTTAATATTTCCTTGCTCTCTGTCCAGCAGGAATCTGCTAGACGCATTCTGTCTGGCAGCCGGGTGCCTTGCTAGCTGCGGAGGAACTGCGGGACACGCCCGTCCACAGAGCAGCTCCTTCCGAGCCTGCCACGCTTCTACTACTACATCATCCTCTTGGGTGTGCACCGTGGCTCTCCCTATCATAGGAGCTTCTTGGGAGGCAGTTTCATTTCTCTGTGCTCACCAACAAGTGCTAAACTGAAGGAAGATAGAATTCAGTTGTTTAGCAATCAGAGTTTCTAAGTCTGTCCCATCATCACCGCACCTCTTCTATGACATGAGACATTGGTGCAGTGTATCATTATGTTCAAATCTGTGGGTCGGCCAGGGTGTATCTGTATGGACTGAATGTGTCCCTCCAAACTTTCTATGTTGAAGCCCTTAACCCCCACTATGAGGATATTTGGAGTTGGGGGCTCTGGGAGGTAATTAAGTTAGATGAGGTCATATGGACATGGCCCCTGTGGTTGAGATTAGCCCTAATACCAAGGGATAGCAGAGAGCTCCACCCTACTGCTGGCCACGTGCGCACACACACAGGAGGGAGAAGGGGGCTCTCTGTAAGCCAGGAAGAGATCCCTCACCAGAAACTGATCACACTGGCACCCTGATCTTGGATCTCAGTCCTCCAGAACTGAGGGAAAATAAATGTCTGCTGTTAAAGTCACCCAGTCCATATTGTTTGGTTTTGGCAGCCCGAGTTAAGACAGTGCCCTTCTCCGCTTCTACCCATAACAGGATAAAAATCCCTGGAGCTCTCTTCTTCCTCCCAAAGGAGCCATGGAAGGCCACTCAACTTGCAGCAAACACGGAAGTACTGGAATCCTGCCTGTATGCTCGGAGGAAATGCATGGAGGACAGACGCAGGTTCGGGATGGGTACAAGAATAGAGAAGGCTGACCCTAGAGACAACACTGTCAAGCTTCAGATCTATACTGTGCACTGGAAAGTAAACAAGCATCATCCACACAATGGACGGACTGCATCCCCCAGTACACTCTGAGGTCTTCAGGTCCTGCTATTAATCTGTTTTTCTTCCTCGTTCTTGGATTTCTTTAACCTCTCCTGGGAGGGGACACAGAACTGGGTGACAAGGAAGAAACATTTCTGGGGGTTTGTGGTTGGGGGCAGGCCAGGGCCACTGCAAGCCTGGGGAAAGGATGAAGGCTGGGATTTGGGGGTGAGGGAGGTGTCCAGGAGGTAATGAGATGTTCAGGAAGATGAGGGAAGGTTTGGATGGTCTCCAAGCTGGCTAGGGTGACTAGTGAGGCAGCCATGCTGCGCTGGGGTCTGCACTCAGGCTGGTCCTGCCTGTGCGGCATAGGCTGGAGGGAAAATGTCAACTCCTGGCACTACTGCACCTCTGAGTCATTGAGTTCTCCAAAGGAAAGGGTCCAGAGTCTGGAATTCTTTTTTTTTTTTTTTTTTCGAGACGGAGTCTCACTCTGTCACCCAAGCTGGAATGCAGTGGCATGATCTCAGCTCACTGCAACCTCCACCTCATAGGCCCCTGTCTCAGCCTCCCGAGTAGCTGGGACTACAGGCATACGTCACCATGCCCAGCTAATTTTTATATTTCTTTTTTAGTAGAGATGGGGTTTTACCATATTGGCCAGGCTGGTCTCCAACTTCTGACCTTGTGATCCACCCACCTCGGCCTCTCAGAGTGCTGGAATCACAGGCATGAGCTACCACGCCTAGCCATGGACTTCTAGTCAGCTCATTCCTACAGCACTATTTACTGAGGGAAAGATTTTGAATATGCAGCTAGGAAAACTGGTGGAATACATTAGGATACATCATGATGAAAAGATGAAGCCTTTGACACATAAACTCTCAAAGTATTTTTAACTGGGGGAAAGAACCCTATACAACATGAAGAAAAATTAGAGGCAAAGCTGTACATACGTAGGGTCCAGTCTGATAGAAATTAAAAAAGCAGACTCTGAGAAAGTAGAAAGAATACACTGAAAGCAGTCCTAGGGATTATGCTGTACTGGAGAATTAAGGACAATTTTTCTTTTGTCCATTTTTGTAAATTTGCAGGTTTTCTAAAAGCACAATTTGTAATTTTTTTTTTTTTTTTTTTTTTTAGGGAGAGTCTCACTCTGCTGCCCAGGCTGGAGGGCAGTGGCATGATCTCAGCTCACTGTACCTCTGCTGCCCAGGTTCAAGCAATTCTTTCTGTGCTGCAGCCTCTGGAGTAGCTGGGATTACAGATGCCTGCCACCATGCCCAGCCAATTTTTCTATTTTAGTGGAGACAGGGTTTCACCATGTTGGCCAGGATGGTCTCAAACACCTGACCTCAGGTGATCTGCCTGTCTTGACCTCCCAAAGCAATTACAGGCATGAGCCACTGCACTCGGCTGTGTTTGTAATCTTTAGAGATAATAAAAAAATATGTATCTTTAAAGCCTAGACTGATAGGAGAGGCAAAATAAGCGCAAGATAGAGGTGGCCCGATGCACAAATTTTGGTTGCTGGAATCTAATAACAGAACGGGACTTCTGAGGACTCTGGCCCACACCCTGCTCTGGGGAGAGGGGCCTAATACCACCCTGCACAGCCAGCAAGTCCTTGCCCCAGTAGCCCCAGTCCCCACTTGCCTCGCCGCTCTGTGATCTGCAGGTAGCCCGTGGACAGGTACTGCTCCATGTCCTGCTGGAAGGCTTCCTCAAAAAACTTCTGCCGCTCCTTCAGCTTCATTTGCTGGGTGTGCTCCATTTCCAGGACCTTCTGGGCATGCTCTGCATCTAGTTCAGCTGAGGAAACAGAATGACCTGGGTTAGGGTTTGAAAAGGGACTAAGAGGAAATTGGTATAAACAGCTGCTCACAGCCACCCTCTAAGTGGATGGTGTCACATCGCGTTGACAGACTTGGGCTGGTGCCCCAACTGTGTGTACAGCTGGCCTCCTTGCCCCCCAGTCTGCTGCACTTCTTCCCCTGGGTGGCCAGGCCCTTTATATGTGCTGTTCTCTTTGCTGGAACGACCTTCCCACCTGCATCACCCATTTGTCAGTCACAAACAGCTGTTTGCCTTCCCAGATCAGCTTCTCAGGTAGTCCTAACTCCAGTGGGGTCTGCTGCTTCATCCAGCTGTTTCCACATCCCTGTGTTTAAACTTTTGCAGCTGACTTACAAATTGCAATGCAATTGCTAAGGACTTGGAGTCCCTGGCAAGACTGTGACCATATATGACTCATTTCAACTCAGCTCAGTGCCTGGCACACAGCTCTCAAGAAATGTTTGTTAAGAGTAAGTATGTAACTGTGGAATATTATTCACCTTTAAAAAGGAAGGAAATTCTGACACACACTATAACATGGACCTTGAACATATATGCTAAGTGAAATAAGCCAGTCACAAAAAGGCAAATACTGTTTAGTTCCATTCACGTGAGGTACCCAGAGCAGTCAGATTCATGGAGACAGGAAGAACGGGGTTCTCAGGGCTGGGGAGAGGGCACGGGGGCTTAGTAGTTAATGGGTATAGATTTTCAGAATTACAAAATGAAAGGGAGATGAATGGTGGTGATGAATGTACAACATATTTAATACCACTCAGCTGTACACTTACAAATTATATATACACATGAAATGGTCAATTTTACGTGTATTTTACCACAGTAAAAGTTGGGGGGGAAAAAGTAGGTATGTAGCCATCATGGTGTATTAGAAAGTGCTTAGTCTTGGTTTTTTAGTGTTTTTGACCACCCAACCTACTCAGTTAACCTTCTCATCTGAAAATTTGGGATAGAAATATTAACCCAATACTGATATGAAAGTATGTAAAATAATTTTATAACGTAAGTTCCCAGTGACCTTTCAAGGTAGAAGTTAAGGCTCTGGGGAACTGTTGGGAAGGCATGATTGGTTTTGAACTGTGAAAAGACATGAGATTTGGGAGGGGCTTGGGCAGAATAATATGGTTTGGCTCTGTGTCCCCACCCAAATCTGATCTTGAATTGTAATCCCCACATGCTAAGGCAAATACCCTCTCAGGTATTTCTTTATAGCCATGTGAAATGAACTAATACAGCATGCATGGAGAATACAAAAAATGAAATCAGGGTCAGACATTTACCATTATTGACCTGGTACATGGGTGAAGGGTTATTTCTAAACTACTTTTAGATCTTAAGTCCTTTGTACTTCATAGGGGTGCAGGCAGAATCCTAAGGTGGCCCTGAGACCTGCTCCTGGGTGTGCTTGCCCCACATTCCCTAGGCCTGGGGCTGGGATGGATTTTACCTAGGTGATATCCCCCTCAAAGGGGGAATGTCTGGGTGAGCCTGGCCTACCTAGCTTTGTGAAGGGCATTGGGCCTTCCTGAAGAAAGATGTGAAGCATGACAGGGATTTGACACAGGGCCACTATCTGCTGATGGCTTGGAAGATGGAGGGGGCCATGCGGGAAGGAATGTAGGTGGCATCCAGGGGCTGAGGACAGCCCCTGGCTAACAGCAGGTGAAAGAAACAGGGCCTGCCTCCCACAGTCACTAGGAGCCCAAACTCTGGCAATGACCTGAAGAGCCCTCATGCAGATTCTTTTCCAGTACCTCCAGAAAAGAACACAGCTCTGCTACCCCTTATCTCAGCCTCATGGGATACTGGGCAGAGAACCCAGTAATGCCTTGCCCGGACTCCTGCCCTACATACTAGAAGCTGATTTGTTTTGTTTTAAACTGTTATGTTTGTGGTTACCTATTACACAGCAATGTGGGGAGTACTCCAAACAGGCTGTCCGTATGAATTCAGGTCCCTGAAAGAATCTGGTTGACTGTAAAATTGAAAAGGACAACCTGAGTGCCTTCCCTTATGGAAATATTTCCTAGCCTCACCCTGTGTCTGTGGCAGGCACCCTGCTCTGCCGAGTTTGGCAAGATGAAAGTATGCTATTATTCCAGAAAATCTAGACATCTGTAGAAAGTTCCAGCTACCTTTTGTTCTGGAATACACTGTAACAGACCATATCCCCCAAGGCAATGTTCCCTCTGGTTCATCTCAGGGGAGTGTCAACATCTTGGGGGTGTTATCAAGGCTGTTAACAAACACAGCAGCTCTTACAATGGACAATGGTGAATAAGGTCCCACCCACCCCCGTGTTCCCAGCACCACACTCACAACTCCCAAGTCCAATAAGGTAGTATGCATGGCAGACCTTAAAACCAGTGATGGAGTTTATCATCTCAATTAGGTGTAGTGTCTAATACTTAGACTACCGTGGCCTTTATTTTTATAGTCTGATCTATATACATGCAAGAAACACAAACTAATGCTAACCAGAACAACACAGGAAAAGTAAATTTTCCCAATTAGCATGTATTCACATGTATAATATTTCCTCTGTGCATTGGGCTCACACTGTTGCCATTACTGGGTGCCCTCTCTCCATTTCCTGCCACCCTCATCTCAGACCTGTTTATGTGGAAATGGTCTACCACAGTAGGAAAAGCTTCTGTGCTCACAGGTTTTGGGTAGGGCCCATCTCAGGTCCTACACTCCTAGCACCTCTCAGCACAGCCTTCCAGGCTACCTCTACATTTAGCTGCAGCCAGAGGAGCCAGTTTTGTCTGTGCTCATTGGGATGTATGGAGGGTCCCACCTAAAGGCCAGGCCTGTGTGGCTATGTTTTCCTGGTCAGAGTATTCTCTGAATCTCAGGGAACCACTGAGCCAGCACAGCCCAGAAGTTCCGTGGAATTAAGGCAGCTCTCAACCAACAGGCGACAGAGGTCAGCATTTCAGGCCCCTAATCTAACATCCTTTGGGTGGACAATTCTGCAAGGTGTTCTAAATGCTTCTCAGAGATCCTGGTAGGATGGCACATCCTCACCGGCTTTAGCAGCTTCCCCTCCTCACTGTCGTTCCCTCCTGCTTCTTGGAATCACCTCCTAGAGGACCTACAGCAAAATCCTAGTCTTAGACTCTGTTTCCACCTAACTGATTTCACCTGAGTTGCAACTTCCCCCTCCATACAAGTGCAGTAAAAACACCTATTTCATAAGGTTGTTGGCAGGATTAAATCAGGTAGCAAATTGGAATCACCAGCATACAGTGTTGGCCAACAGTGGAAGCTAATATTAATACCAACATTATTTAAACAAAAGCCTCTTGAAGAGGGAGTGATAGGAAATATTACCAAGAACCAGGATTCACTATGCGCCGAAATCATCTGCTCTGGGTTCCACTCAGATACTTAAGAATTAGTTACCTTTCAGTACTCTTAATAAATCTGCAAGGAATTTAGAGTGTACTCATAAGAAAAAAACTTAAACCGGAGAAGATGTCTTTTCACTTTTTTCACTTCAGTTGTCAACGTATCTGTTCAAATGCTTCATGACTGCCAAGTGTATTAGAATAAGTCAACCCTAAAATATATTAAGTATGCTTCAAGTACTTCAAAGTTCAGCTAATCTTCTTTTAAAAAATAATTCCAGAATAGGCAGCTTGAAACCAAGATCAATGCAAAAATCATCAAAGGGGTTTTAATTAAAGAATATCTTGTTTTAACTTAATTATGTTTTCAACAGATATATAATATAAAAAACATTTCATTTTTCTCAAGACTACTTCTGCTTTAGAAGTTTGATTCTCTCGTGTTGCTGAATTATTGGTCCTTTAGTCTTTTTTATCTCAGTTTTTTCTATATCAGAATGAAATCCAATCATGTCTCAACCTTCACAGGGGAAGAGGAGTTAGATTAGGAAACTCAAAATGACTTTTAAAAAATAGAAGAAAAGGGCATGGTGGCTCACACCTGTAATCCCAGCATTTTGGGAGGCCAAGGCAGGCGGATCACAAGGTCAGAAGATCAAGATCATCCTGGCCAACTTGGTGAAACCCTGTCTCTACTAAAATACAAAAAATTAGCTGGGCCTGGTGGTGGGCACCTGTAATTCCAGCTACTTGGGAGGCTGAGGCAGGAGAATTGCTTGAACCAGGGAGGCAGAGGTTGCGCCACTGCACTCTGGCCTGGGTGACAGAGCAAGATTCCGTCTCAAAAAAAAGAGTTGTAAGATTCAGAAGAATATTTCATAGACTAGCTTCTGGCTTTGCCCATTTCAACTGTTGCCTCTACATGGTGGCTCATGCCTGTAATCCCAGAACTTTGGGAGGTCAAGGTGGGTGGATCACTTGAGGTCAGAAGTTTGAGACCAGCCCGGCCAACATGGTCAAACTCTGTCTCTATGAAAAATACAAAAATTAGCCAGGCATAGTGGCTCACGCCTGTAATTCCAGCTACTCTGGAGTCTGAGACTGGAAAAATGGCTTGACCCCAAGAGGCAAAGGTTTCAGTGAGCCGAGATTGCGTCATTGCACTCTAGCCTGGGTGCTAAGAGGGAAACTCTGTCTCAAAAAAAATAATAATTAAAATCAAATAAAACTTGTTCCTCACTAGTTTCTGAAACCTCTCCAGCTGTCCTCATCAGCTCCCTGCTTCATTTTAGAGCCCTTTTGTATCTTGGGGGGCTGAGCACTAAGCCAGCTGCACTGAGAACCAAGTACACCAGCTACGTATTCAGGATGACTGTGATAAAGCACAGAGCAGGCATTTCAAAATAACTTTGCTGCCAAACAGCTAAAATATTTGCCCTCAGCTATGTGACTGAATGAGGATATCCTAATTGTGCTGTGTGTACTGAAATCATCAACTGAGCCTGCATCAAGAAAACCACCAAATTTGGGAGTGGTGAAATGATGGAAGGAAAAAATTCAAATCTAGAGGTTTAACATCTGAATTTCAGAATGAGGACTGTAAAA